AATCAAGTATCAGGTAAGAAAGGTGTAAAAAAATCGTTAATTTTTAAAACTCAATTTTTTCATATTTACCTATTATAGTTCGTAACAGTATTATAACTTGCGCTGCTCATTGCCAGACACTTTTTTAAAATACATTTTTTTATCATAAGAGACGACTGTTATGCCAAAAAAATGTATTAGAATAGAATAGAAAATCATTTATTAAAACCCCGTAAATATACGAAAATACAGTAATTTATCAAAAATAATTTGATATTAATTTAGTTATAAATAAGTACCTCGTATAATTTATGTACAAAAAGTAATGATATCCCATCAAAAACATAAATGTGAAATGATAGCCGAGTTTAATATTATGATATATACCTTGATTGTTGACTTCTACGACAAAAGAGATGAGATCTAAATGGGTGCCAAGTTCAATGGTCTGTCCCGAAATGTATTTATAACAATATAAAATATCATTTCTTCTTATAACTTAGGATAATATATTGTAGCCTAAGGTCTAACTTGGCCAGTTCTCATATACCAATTATTACTTTCGATTGCTAGTTACTACTAATAATAAAATAGGAACCGACCAGTAACAAGTTTAGAACTTGCGAAGGCTACAGTATATTCGTACAGCAGCATTGGTAAAATATACTAATTCTGTATTATTTTATTATTGGTAATTAAATTACTATAATTAAGCCCACGTTTTTAATTGTACATGTCACAAAAAAAATCTTATACCATATGTTTGTATATGTTAAAACTACATGATAAGAAAAATAAAATAGTTTATAGTATAGATATTGCAATACCAAACACATAATCTTTTACAAACACATACAGAAAATTTTGCTAAAAATACTGATCTGGCAATAGAACTAAAAATGTAATGGCAGGTAGAAACAGTGAAAACTCTACCAATTATTATTTCGTCTACAGATGTCATTCCAACATCCTTACACTCTAGCCTCAAAGTATTACAGCTTCTCCCACTTACTTTCATTCTTCTCCAAAAAGCTGTAATTCTAAACACCTGTAGAATAGTCCGCAAATTTCTGTCACCATAATCATTTCTTTTATAATTGTCATTGATTGGTGATTTTCACCCGCAATGACAAGTTTAACACCCCATCAAAAGGAGATATATAAAATATATACATAAATAATAATAATCATTTATTCAGCATCATAGTACAGAGTAAAAATATGGAAAACTTAAAAACTAATATTTCTCTATGAGCTGAAAGGGCCTCCACTCAGCTGGTGCCGCAGCGTGTCACTGCAGCGCTGATTTTCAGTGGAGTCACTTGAAAAAATAAAAGTAAATAAGCAGTTAAATTTCTTTATTTTATTTTGTTTGATTTTCTTGTTCGCTTTTTTTTCTCTTTGTATCGTATTTTTTATTTCTATTTATATGTTATAATAATTTATATGCTGCTGTGAGCATCATCATTGTTGTGTTGTGATGTGTGATTGCAATAATATATTATTCTATTCTATTCTAAATTCCAATTTCATTAACATAACACTGTATCTACACTTACTTCAAAGGATCTTGACAATCAACAAGTTTCTACAGCCGAAAAAGAAATATTAGTTAAAAAAATATATATTTATTAGATTTACGTTCCGTTCCACGATATCATGTAAGTATAATAAATGTGTCATTTAGTTCCGAGCGTTTTATTCCAAGATTTTACATTCAATATTCGCCTCACAGTTCCAAAGATATGACCAAACAAACCGTGACAGACGAACAGACGAAGTTATTTGTAATGGGTGTCGCAATTAATCAGCATAAACGTTTTATTAGTCGGGATCGCGCAGGCGCGGTTCCGCCAAATACGTCGTGCCTGACAGCCGTGTGGCGGCGGGAAACAAACAAACAAAATGGCCGCCCGCTCGTTTTGGCGGGAAACGATTGTAAATGGCGACAGTTTGACCCGGGAGATGTGCTTTGACGGCGAGCACGCAACAAGATAAGTTAGAACACTTATTTATTTATTTATTTACAGACTATTAATGCCATATTATAAATACCTCATAGACTTAATATTGTAATACTTAAACTGTATTATATCATTCTTACATAGTACAAAACAAAGTCGCTGTCGCTGTCTGTCCTTTGTTTAAATCTTTAAAACTACGCAACTGATTTTGAAGCTATTTATTATATTAAGCACAACCTCAATTATAGGCAACTACGACATTTATATGACAAATTTGTGCTTACAATTAACAAAACATAAAGAACAACTTAGGATTCTACCTTAAAAAAAAACGTGTACCGATTCAACTAAAGGCAACAAACTGAACAACTAGTTAATTCTTTATTAACAAGTTGTTCAGTATACATATTCTTATATGTTTCTCCGAGATTTTCTCTTTTTTCTAAAAAATTGTTGAAAACATTTATCGAGCCATTTATCGTAACTTACATATATGACCGTTTGTTCTTCGTCTTGAATTAAAATAATTTTGTCAGGTATATGGTAGTTTTACCATCTATTGATATACCTAACGACAGATAATATAATCTATACATATAAATAAAAGTGGAGTGTCTGTTTGTAATATTAAAATAACCGTTTTTAACTACATGCATATGAATATAAATACGGTGCATACACAAAAATATCATTTTGTACAATTTTTGTCTGTCTATCTGTTCGTTCCGGCTAATCTCTGAAATGGCTGGACCGATTTTGACGGGACTTTCATTGGCAAGTAGCTGATATAATAAGGAGTAACTTAGGCTGCTTTTATTTTTGACATATAAAGTTAATATCCACGCGGACGAATTCGCGGGAACAGCTAGTATTACATAACTAGCTACTCGCCCTGGCTTCTCACGGGTCTTCATGTATTATATATATAAAACTTCCTCTAGAAACACTCTATCTATAAAAAAAAACGGTTCAAAATCCGTTGCGTAGTTTTAAAGATTTAAGCATACATAGGGTAGGACAGACAGCGACAGCGACTTTGTTTTATACTATGTAATAAAGATTAATGTAACAAAACTTTACGGACTGAAGTACTTGGTCTGTAACTTAATTGCACTCTGTTGGCGTGTGTGCGTCTGTCCCTGCGTACTACGCCGCCCATTTTTCATGGCACGCGTGAACGCTCGGCCGCGATTCGGTTTTAGCTGCGCCGGCGCACCGCGTTTCAGCTAATTGCTTTTTTCTGTACCCGCGTTTACGTAGTCTGAATGAAACGAATATTCATAGGATGCACCATAATAACTGTTTAAATATAGACAATGCGATGAATTTTCGAACTACTGTACTTGTAATTTAGGTTGGTTTTTTGTTACCATATGTTTTTTGTTTCCACCTATGTTATGGAAATAATAATAAAAAATAAAAAGATCTACTGATTTATAGATACTACACTAGCTACACTAGCTGTATTCGTGGCTTTGTCCGCGTGGAATTTTACAAAAAAGTTGATTAGATTGTTCTAAAATAAAAGTAGCCTAAGTTACTCCTAATTACATCTGTTACCTACCAATAAAAGTGCTGGCAAAATCGGTCCATCCATTTCAGAGATTAGCCGGAACAAAAAGACACACAAAAATTGTAAAAAATGACATTTTGGTATATGTACCGTACTTATATTCATATGCAGGTAGTAAAAACAGTTATTTCAATATTACAAACAGACACTCAAATTTTATTTATATGTATAGATAAACTATTATACATAGAATTTAACCTTGTTTTCTTTATGATATGTATGAAATAAAAAGGTTTTTTTTTACTCTATTTATATTATAGACAGGTCGTGTGGGAGCTGCGATGACGGCTGGTTGAGATGCGTGAAATTAAACTGGCACCGCACCCATGCAAGGTGCCAACACTTGAGAACTCGAGGTCAAAACATGATTTCTAGTTAGAAACAAAGTACTCATCAGATACACAAAGATTATATAGATTTTTTTTTATGGGTAATAATGGAATGGAGCACCCGCCTGCGCTAACGGTTTACGCTGGCGGGGCACCAGTGAAGGATGATAAGATGAACATGAAGTCAGGTCAGTTAGCCCATCATGAGAAATTCAGCAAGAATTTATCACGATGGTTTCCAGGGGGAACCGCGTGGAGGTCAACCTGACATGGTACATTGCTAGCAATGGGGCCATGAGTCCACATTACTAACAATCCCCATCTCCCCTCTGACGTCGTATTAGGGGCTTCAGATAGTGCTACAAAGATCTATTGTTTGTATTGTAGTACTCTCCGATCGATCCTCCATCCAGTTCAAACGGGGATCGAAATTGCAACGGTCTGAGCCGAGGCTCATTTGCTATCACGTTGTGGAATCACCTTCAGGCAATGGTAATGGTAGATACAATATTGAAACCTTCAAGAATCGAGTTTATTCCTTTTTAAAGGGGATTGTTAGCTATGTGGACTGATGATGTTATTGCTAGCAATATACCAAGTTGACCTCCATGCTGGGCTAACTGATTTGTCATGATGGGCTAACTGACCTGACATCATTCTCATCTCATCTTTAGCTGATTTGTGACGTGTATTAAAAATATTTTCTTTTCTGAAAATTTTCCTAAAATTCGTTTCTGTGTCTATATCTTCTTAACTTAGAATAACAGGTTTGGGAGGCCAAGTAATTCTAATTATTATAATTTGCCTTTTGTCGGTCTTTTCATAATTATATAAATTCTGAATTTCAACAATGTGATTTGTGGTGACATCTAGTATCGAGTAGTGAAAACAAAAAAATAACATGACTAAATCTACCAATAGATGGCACACAAAGGTACAACGATAGGTTATCTAGTAAAAGTATTTGTCTAAAGATATTTAAAGATAAAAATACTGCATATCATAATAATAATTATTTTAGATAATACGTAATAATATAACAAATGTACGTAATAAAATAAATTTTTAAATACTACTAAAACGATGATTGACATCTCAACTTATTAATCTGTAGAAATATAGAATAAAATTGTTAGTAACCTGTGGAAGGTTGTAAAGTGATTAAAAAAAACTTGTAAAGTAAACCAAAGTGCTAATGACAAATTATTGATATTTTTCATTATTTTACCAGCATCATGGGTACAGAAATAGCTATATCGTTTAGTAATTTACGTGCTCAATTAGAAAATGAGAAAAGTAGTTTATATAAAATTGATGAAAACATCAAGCGAATACAGATAACCCGCTTCCCAAACGATAGGTTAGCGAATATAACTTGATGAATTGAATATGTTTCTCAACTGCCGCTGTCAATTACTTATTTATTTATTTACAGATTTAATAACTCGTCAGGAGATTACGCAAGAGGTGCACCTCGTCAGCTCGGCCGGAATTCATTTCCAGAGGCCGGCAATAATTATAAAAACGACGACCAATTCAATAAAAGGAAACATGAAACCAAGACTGTGTTTAGCAGGTATTACTATAATCTTGCTGTTACCTCAACTTCACTGCTTTTTTAAATCTCAAGCCCGAGACCCTCACGATATTATCACGTTATTTTCATTAGTATACTTTCAGTAGTTTAATTGTGAAAAAGTAACAAACAGTTATCTATCACTTGTAATTATTCCTAGCAGACTGTATTTAAAGACCATAGACAATATCATAGCATAATGCCAACAAAATCCTCGGTGCAACCACAGCGTCGAGATTTTGCCGCCGTTGTCGCTAGCAAACCGACTGCTTCAGTACAGCGGCGTGTGTCAAAAACGGCGCTGAACATTGACCCTACGTGTGCTACCACTGGTAACCGCTACGATGATGGCTTCGTCGTGGTACAAAAGAAGAGGCGCACAAACAGGGTCAATAGGAACCATTGTGGCACTGCAGTCACTGGGCCCAACTTTCTGCTGTGTGCTGATACACCGACCACGAGAATGTACCTGTCCCGTCTACATTACGCCACTAAGGAGCAGGACCATGTCGATTATGTCTGTACTAAGAGTAACCTGACATTGAGGATGATTCAGCTGAAGTCGAGTCACAACGCGAGTTTCAAAGCGTTTGTGGCCCCTGTCCCCACCGACTTGCTGCCCACCTTCATGAAAGAGGACTACTGGCCGAAAGGTGTGGTATATCGGTGCTACCGTGGCAGATTGCCGTCTTCAGTGCCATGATCACACAGACAATATCAATGTATTAGTTTATAAATATTATATTATATATATGTTAGTTTATAAGGTATTTATAATATGGGCGTAGTTGCCTGACATAAATGATTAAATAAAAAAAATAAATTCTAATCAATATAATTCTGTATTCTCAGATTATCAGCCCGAGTTCATGACAGTGATGGTGAAGACGATGGGCCAGGGAATAAGAGGGCGCGGGTCCCATCAGCAGTGTGTCGGGAGCTGCCCACCAGGGCCGCAGTGTTACGGGCCCAAGGTGACGATGAACAGGCTAGGACACGCAATAGACGCATCTTTGGCTCACTACTAGGCACATTACAAAAGTTCAAACAAGAGGAAATTGTATTACAGACTAAGGTGAGGATCAAGGTTTTTTTAGTGTGGAAAAATATTCAAAAGACTGTTTATGATTGAAATCTAGGTGTTTCAACCTCTTCCTCAGGACATGTCCCGAGTCCGGTTTAAAAACTGGTTTCTAACCATACTTTATAATAACATATCCTACTTTATTTTTGGTAATTATATATATAATTTTACACACAAATAAAGTATGCAGAAATACTTTATTTTCAACCTTTACTGTGATGCATAAAACAAAATACTCATTATGGGTACTTAACAATTTATAATTACTGAACGAAATGTTAGATGTCAGTTGTGGGTTGTGACATTTGTCACAGCTCACAGATGTCACTCACAATCAACGAAATTGTATAAAAATGATCCTCTGGTATAAACAAATTATAATTGAAGATTAAAAAACGAATTCTTTATTTATTTAAATTTAAATGTTGATTGTCAAACAAGCTTTGCAACATTTAAAGATAACAAAACAAATTTAGCATGTGCTAAAAGTACACTGTAATATGTTTTTAAAGCAATAGAAATATAGAAATTGAGAAATACTTTTTTTTTCCTATTAGCCAATTACCAAACCAGTTTATATGTTTTTTTGTCAAAAATAGTTGGCAACCCTAGCAGAACATCTAATAACATGTCTAATTAATACAGTAATCCACTCTACAAAACAGTAGATTGGTTCCACAATATAGGAAAATGCATTGTAGGAGTATTCCTGTATAATGTATTTTTAGGACCCTGTATAACACATCAGTACATAGTATAAAACAAAGTCACTGTCGTTGTCCGTGCCTATGTATGCTTAAATCTTTAAAACTATGCAACTGATTTTGAAGCGGTTTTTTTTTTAATAGATCCAGTGTTTCAATAGGAAGGTACAATACATGTACACCCAGAGGAAGCCGGGACAGTAGCTAGAAAAAATAAAAATGTGTTATCACTTAACTTAATTTTTGCATTGGAATTTAAATGAATGCTTACAATTGATTTAGTGGTACTATTTTATATTCATTCATTCATAATTCTTCTTCATAATTCAAGAGCTGTGCTCTTGTCAGTGGATCTCCTGCCACCTTCCACGATCTTCTATCAGTCCCTTTAGCTGTTGATACGACATGACTCCAACTTTTTCTTTAACTTGCTTGATATAGCTGTGTCTTGGTCTTCCCCTTCCTCTCTTTCCTTTATTTTATATAACCTTTTATATTTTAAACTTTTAATTAAATAGATATCTTAGATTGTATAATTTTGTTTCAATTAATAAAGGATTTGATTTGAATTTGAATTTTATATAACTTTTTATTATACATCACTTACAGGAGGATAAGAAAGCCCAAGTGGAGCGCAAAATTGAGGAGCAGGCACGATTAGAAAAAGAAAGAGAACAGAAAGAAAGAAAAACTCTGTATGCAGAGAGAGAACACAAGAAGGCTAACATTAAAGCCCTCGAAGCCAAGATGGCGCGTGTTCAGGAGTTTGAGAAGTGGGAGGCATCACAAAAGAGCCTCGGCAACTTTATACTGACTAAAGCCAGGCCCCACGTGTATTGGTTGCCTAAGAAAATGACTGATAAGGCCACGGAAAAGTTGAATTCAAGTAGAAAATTCCATGAAAGTAAGTATGTAAAAGGATAACAATACAGCTGCTGAGTTGAGTATGAAAAAGCTACTAATTTGGTCAACTTTCTCAGTATTTAAAAGGTTAAAAAGCAAACTGTAATATAAACTAATAATAATAATAATTTCAGGACAATTCACACAGCGCCATCTAGCCCCAAGTTAAGCTACCTAAAGCTTGTGTTATGGGTACTATACAATATATACATATACATAGATTTTTTTTTTGTAAATACATACATATTATACATAGAAAAGACCCAGACCGACACAAACAATCATACTGATGAATACAAACATTTGTGCCGTGCGAGGAATCGAACCCGCGACCATCGGACGTAAAGCGGTGTGCTAGACCGCTAGACCACCGAGGTTGTCAATTATTATTAATATAATTTATTTAAATTCTCACCAATAAACTGATTATTTATATTATACCAGCTGTCCCGGCAAACGTTGTTTTGCCTTAAAATAAAAAAGCAATTAGGGGTGGACTACCCCTAACATTTAGGCGGATGAAAAATAGATGTTGGCCGATTCTCAGACCTACTCAATACGCTCACAAAATTTCATGAGAATCGGTCTAGCCGTTTCGGAGGAGTATGGGAACGAAAACTGTGACACGAGAATTTTATATATAAGATTGTGTAAATATAGGGATCTAATTCTAACCTTATTGAAGTACCAAAGTATCTTATACAAATCTTTAATTTAACTCACAGAATGCATGATAAGAAAACGACAAGAATTACAAGAGGAGCTGCAGCGGATAGAGCAGCGCTGTCTCCGCATGAGAGGACCTGGAGCCAAGGAGAATGATCCAGAATCAACACACAATGATCATAAAGATTCAGAAGCATTAGATCATGAAATGACAGAAGATGAGAAAGGAAGTAAAAGGAATAAGTTCGCAATGGATGCAGATGAGAAAGACAAGGATGACAGTGATGCTGATGATCGGCAAGAGGATGCTTCAAATAGCGATATTAAACCAAAGGAAGAAAAAGGTATTGTGTGTAAAATTTTCATCTATACATCTATACATATTAATAAAATTGGAGTCTGTTTGTAATATTGAAATAAGCGGTTTTTACTACACGCATATGAATATAAATACGGTACATAGACCAAAATAACATTTTTTACAATTTTTATCTGCCTGTTTGTTCCGGCTAATCTCTGAGATGGCTGACTTAGGCTACTTTTACAAATAAAGTGAAATTCGACGCGGACGAAGTCGCGGGAATTTCGGAGTATTTCGGAATTAACAGAATTTCGGAATTACGGAGTAACCGTATTACATCAGCTACCTGCCAAAAAAATGATCCATCAAAATCGGTCCAGCCATTTCAGACATTAGCCGAAACAGACAGACAGACAAAAATTGTAAAAAAAAAATTTTTAGTGTATGTACTGTATTTGTATTCATATGCATGTAGTAAAAAACTGTTATTTCAATATTACAAACGGATACTACTGTTTTATTTATATGTATAGATTATAATATGAATTCACATATAGAATGTATTTATAATGTGGCCATTAGTAGCCTGATATAAATACAGTAATATTTAATGATAGAAAAAGATATATGCTTTTACACGTTTATTATAAAAGCGCAGTCATAGAAATGTTTATAAAAACAATAGTAAAAAAGAGTACCTCTATTTTAAATATGGATAATAAAGGAATATATAAACTGAATCTCATTGTAGGTCTATCCTATCGGCAGGACAATTTCATTAGATCCATTAAGAGGTTTAATCATGAAAAGAAAATTAAAAACGTTGAAAGTTACGTAGTCTGGTTCTTTTTACCCTTATATCTCTATACAAGGGTGCATCTACCTAAGGGTTTTTTTGGGGTGCAGCCTAGAGCTCCGAGGCTCCAAAGGCCCCAATCCTCAGAAATGATATTTAAAATATAAAAAAATATGTAGAATATTAAAAGCCTATGTTATATGAATGTTAAAATCATAAGGTTGGCAACCCTGAGATCAATCAACCCATGCAAGTGCGCGTCTATCGAAAGAAACGGGAAATTTCTGGTCGCTTGTTTTTGGTCGTCGGTGTATTTTTTTTAGTTTAATAATATAATTAAGTACGGTAGGTAGGCCCCGTGTACATTTAGCTAAGGGCTCCATAAATTCAGGATCCGCCCCTGTCTCTATAACAAAATATAAGAATATTAAAAATGTGTCTATGTTCACGTCCAGTAGGAAAGCTACCCGCAGTAGGCAGGAATTTCCAAAAAATGCTTTAACTTTTTGATGTTCCTATCTTCACGAGAAGGTATCGGCAGTAGGCAAGAATTTCCTAGAAATGTCTAACTTTTTGGTGTTCCTATCTTCTCGAGAAGGTGTTCCTATCTTCTCGAGAAGGTGTTCCTATCTTCACGAGAAGGTATCGGCAGTAGGCAGGAATTTCCTAAAAATGTCTTTAACTTTTTGGTGTTCCTATCTTCGCGAGAAGGTGTTCCTATCTTCACGAGAAGGTATCGGCAGTAGGCAGGAATTTCCTAAAAATGCCTTTAACTTTTTGGTGTTCCTATCTTCGCGAGAAGGTATCGGCAGTAGGCAGGAATTTCCAAAAAATGCCTCTAACTTTTTGATGTTCCTATCTTAACGAGAAGGATGTTCCTATCTTCGCGAGAAGGTGTTCCTATCTTCGCGAGAAGGTATCGGCAGTAGGCAGGAATTTCCTAAAAATGCCTCTAACTTTTTGATGTTCCTATCTTCACGAGAAGGTATCGGCAGTAGGCAGGAATTTCCTAAAAATGTCTTTAACTTTTTTGTATCAGATGACGCAACAATGGACACCAGTATTGAGCAGCAAAATACAACTAAAGACCAGGATTCAACGATGGAAACGGACACGCAAGACGAAAGCCGGCCTGCGGAGACCACGACCGACCAAATGGAGGTGAAGGAGCAGCCTGACAAAGAGGAGCAGAACTCCGATCATTCCTAACGCTGATGAAGTTTGTGTACTGAATTATGTAAAATATATAGATGTGAGATAAGGTAACACTTCAATGGAAAAACAATTTATGTCAACGATACGGTTGTCATCCTGTTCTTGAATGGAAAATCACGAAATATATATGATTGATGGAAAGTGTAAATCTCTTTTATTACCATAGTATTATTTATTATTTAAATTATTAACCGGGTCTTAACACGAATAATTTTATTGCAAATAAAGGTATTTACCTCTCTCGACGTTTCAACTAAGTTGCACTAGCAGTGCTCACGACCTGACTGGAGTAACAGCGATGTCAATGTAGATAGGTGACAGCAGTTTTTTCTTCATCTACCGTCACTAGATAATACCTTTATTTGCCATAAAATTATTCGTGTTAAGACCCGGTTAATAATTTAAATAATGTATATTAAACACGAAAGTTTAAAATTAACTATGATATTATTTGTCCATGCATTTAAACACACATAGATTCTTATCTATACATATAAATAAAATTGGAGTGTCTGTTTGTAATATTGAAATAACAGGTTTTTACTGCATGCATATGAATATAAATACGGTACATACACCAAAATATCATTTTTTACAATTTTTGTCTGGCAGGTTGTATTTTTGTTGCAGGATGTAATAAGGAGGATTGTAATAATTTGTTTGTTAAATTCCACGCGAACGAAGTCGCAAGTACAGCTCATATATACATAAAAGAGAAGTAATATATTTGTTATGTACTATGAAAAATGCAATAAATATATTTAATTTATATTTACCACAATAGATCGAAATTTATGAAGAATGTATTTATATTCATATGCCTGTGGTAAAAAACGGTTATTTCAACATTACAAACAGACACTCCAATTTTATTTATATGTATAGTTTTTTTATGTATTATGAAAGGTGTCCTGAAGTTACTGAAACAATATTAGGTATATAATTATTGTTGTAGTTTTAGAGAAATAAAACGGCAATATAGTTACAAAAAATATAATAAACTTTATTTAAATATATGTACATAATAATTATCAAATATGTTACTGATGGATCCTCGTTCAGTTGACTTCCATCATTAAGTTGAATCAGTGCTTTATTTTATTATGAGCGCAATTTTAAGATGCTGACAATACTTAATAGTCTGTACATGAAAGATACGAGAAAAATATATTATACGTACATAATAGAACCTAAAAAAAGTTTTGTTACAATTGTTATACGTTTAAACTAACTCATTAACTGCTTAACCAATTTGGGTGTGGTTTTCAGTTAACTAATATATTTTGTCAGGTTGACCTCCGCGCGGTTCCCCTGGATACCATCGTGATAAATTCTTGGTGAATTTGTCACGATAGGCTAACTGACCTGAGCTACTGCTCATCTTATCATCCTCCACTGGTGCCCCGCCAGCGTAGACGGGTGCACCATTCCATTATCACCAATAAAAAATATATTTTGTTATGTCCTATAGTAGGAACTTTGTGAAAAAGGTCTATAGATGTCATTCTGGCCAGTGTGATTTGTGATTCAAGAAATACGTGTTTTGAGACCATATAATAGTGGCGGCGAGAGAAAATAGTGATGCGTTTTTGTCTATATCAATAAATAGAACAAAACTAAAGAAGCCTTAGTACTATCCATTATTGCTGGCTTCCTTGAAGAAGTTTGATACGTTCGAAGCCAAAACATTAAAGCAGATAAGATACAATTGTAAAAGGTATGATACAAAAAGGTTTTTGGATTGGATTAAGAGAAAATCAAGTAAAACTGTTACATTATGCCATAAACTCTATGGAGATAGGTGCAATTCGATTTTCAAATTCAATCGAAGTTAAGACAGGTGAACCTGAAAAGGGGAGTCGTGGTCGGACCACCTCCTCGTATGTTCCAGCCATTGGGAGGTTCCTTATCCTGGTGGATACGTTCGCGGGGAATGGTGGCCGAGCAATGGTTTGGTTCTGGTGCGCCCTGATCGGGATGGTAGTAGTACCTTCGGGTTATTGCTACTATGTCGGCCGATAATCCGGCGAAATAGGAGTAGGCAATTTTTTGTTCTCTTTCTTTTCTGTTTTTGTCTTCTCTTTCTTTTGTCTTAAATTTTTCCTATTATCTCTTTTCCTTTTCGTTTCCGGTCCGGTGGGTGCTTAACTGCGCAGCCGGACAGTACTTCGGTGCAACTGACTACAAACCGTAAACCTGCACTGGGAGTCGGTGATCACGTCTATCGGCCCAGTGTGGGAGCGGGGGTCCTTGGCTTAATCGCTCGGTGCCGTGAGGAGTCAACCTCTATAAAAAAACCTCTTGTCTAAGCTCGGTACCTGGCGAGGGACAGGTCGTCCCGCGGAACACGCTGCTGGAATTCTTTTTGGCTAGCGTGTTCCTCGGGACGGCTCGGAGGAGTAACTCCGGCCGACTACCAACCGGTAGCAAAATACAATGCCGGCTCTGTATGGCCCCATACTCGTGGGAACAGAAATGGAAATAAAAAAAAAATACAACCGTTGGGTCCGTGAAGGACGGTGAGAAAGTGGTGTCCGCAAAGGACGGAGTGCAGAAGGTATCCGATAAGGACGGTGTAAGGACAGAAATGATACAGGAGTCTTTCCTAAGGAGATGCGGAGCACTGCTGGAAAGAGGAGACCCCAGAAAATCAGAACAGTACAGAGAGCCTACCAATGGCAGGTTCCAGTCGTGACGTCAGTGCGCCAGATCTGGAGTTCTGGTCGATGTCAGAGGTCTCCAGTGTCGATGGGGACAGTGTTTGAGGAGGACGCAAACCAGAGTTGTTCCTGGAATCGATTTCATAATTTTTGTTCAAGGCCTCAAATAAATTATAGAAAAACAACAATGGATAAAATACATTGTGATAGATATGAAATAAGAATTGATTTAACATCAGGCATCTCAATCAGGAATACTGGCGATGAACTTTATTTAGATGGTGAAGTAATTGTGAAAAGCTACTCTTAAAAATCTAGAGGGGGAGTTATATTGTTGCTTGCTACCCAACTTTAGTATCTCCAAGATAAAAATGTTAATAAAGGACATGCCAATCAAATCAACAGAATGGTTAAAGAAAAATAGTGAACATTTACCTGAGGGTTATAAATCTATCACTATATTCCAGACAAACTATTTTTTTGTGACAAAAAGAAATGATCCATCGTTAAATTTATTGAAGACACTACAAAGACATTAATATAGGGGCTGAAAACGACACTACAATGGCTTTTAGCAATTATCCTTTAAACAGAAAAATAGAGGATGAAAGTTCTGGTTCAAGTAGTGAAAAGAAGAGAGCATGTATTGAAGATGTATCCTCAATAATAAATTGAGTCACTGTACAATCTTCTCAATGAAAAACAATGTTTTTGAGTAACCGTTCATTCTGAAATAGTGATAATGCAAGTCATGTGCTTATACCATCTCCACAAAAATGAGCTGACATCATTGGAGTATCAGAGCCACAAGATATTGTAATGACAGGATATTCAGTTGAGTTATTAAGGACAAAGAATGCTTTGTCATGATCCCCACCTACATTATCTTCCAAGAAAATGAGATCTCAAGTCGAATTTAACTTGGACGATGAAGAGTCTCAGGTTGAAAAAGATGATTCATGTGAAGCAGAATAACTCACCAACCATTCAAAGGGTAAAATCAATAGCATAGTAATTAGTTGTTTAAATATTAAACAAAACATGCAAGGTCAGTGAAATATAAAAGTGAATTGTAATTGCGATACAATTATTGACCTTACAAACAGTATGCTTAAAAGACATGCCTGGGATTTTATACACTAATGCGAAAAAAATTCAGTAAAGTAAAATGAGACTGTTTCCTCACTGGAGATGCAGTTCTGTTCTATAAACAGATTCCCGCAAAAATCAATTATCATTTTAAGTAACACCACAATCACAATAGAATTTAGTCACATTATTAAGGTTTATTTCTTCTTCTTTTAATTTAAATGGCTTCCACCAAATGCGGTCAGTGATTTTGCCAACGTCGTGGTTTGGGAGACACAGTGGTGTGGTTTACGGTTTTCTTGACTGTGTTTGTAGAAAGGACTGTTTCAGTTGGCTGAGAATGCTAAGAATAAGGTTTATGTTGTTAATTTATGACTTAATTAGTTAACTCTATGGTACAGGCTTTAGACGAGTGCAAATGGCGAATCTGCTGACTTGATGAGCCGATTGCAAGATATGAATTTAAAAAATAAAATTGAACTTTGAAATAGTGTTGTTTTACTATTGAACAATCTGGGGGGAAAGATATGTTATGTACTGAAGTGTATACGTTGTGAGAAAGTAGTCTATAGATATTATTCTGGCCAGCGTGACATTTGCTGCAAGAAATATGTATCTTAATGAGTTAATAAGCTTTACTTAATATTTTATTCCAGTGATTTTATAAAGGAAACATTTATATACCCATTAAGTTGAGGGTCTAGCTGCTTTTAATAGTGTTATGTGTTATGCCTAGGATTTTGTTTAAATAATATGATACAGCTTTTGCTTTGTGGAAAATATGTGTAGAAAGGAAGACATAGCTTTGCCTTGTCTGTCAGATCAATTAACATTTACACAAGGACACAAAGCACTTCTGCATCCAAGCATAATTTTGACCGATGTCAAACCGATGAGTTTCAGTCTAGAGTAAATATCCTAGAAGCTATATCATCCAACATCCAATCCATTCCATCTAGAAGGTTCTCTCCTGTGACAGCTGAACATCGTACAATGCGCCAGTGGTGTGTCTTGATACTGTCCAGATCTAGGGCCTGTAAATACAAAATCAATTTACTGTCATTGTGTAGAGTCAAAAGAATACAATCTATCAAGACTTCATTCATGGTGGTCGAACAGTTTAGCGCATTGCCTTACTTCCAATAGTCATGAATTTGATTCCTCTCACGGTACAAAGATAACATTGCACTATAGTTTCATGTTATAAAAACATCATATTTTTTTATATCATAATGTGGATTGAAACCAATGAATAACCCATGTTGGTACTATGCCAGGAATTGAACCTACAACAATTAAAGGAAGGGCAGAAGTTATAATAAACGTTACATGAAATGCTAAATGAAATTTATTGATCCAAGAGGTTACTGTTAGTTATAATCAGTTACAAAATAAAATTTATATAAAAATATATTAATGTAGAATCAAGAGTAATAAATTTTGTTAAACTTAACACATTATGAGATATGCAAGTATTTGTACCCATACTAATAAATATATATATATATATATGTATATATTTTTGCCTTGTGTCACTAAAACTACTTATTTGAAAGGGCATGTTCCCCGTTTTTAAATGGCAATGTGCAGAATGAGTTGTCGTACCTTATAAGTGGCGATATGCTTATAAGTGGAAATCCTCTGAACAAGTACAAATACCTGCCCGCTTATAATATGTTAATATTTAAAGTACATTGTATTTAAAAATGAAAAGGTCACCTCTCTAATCTCCTGTAAAGTTAATGCACCAGGTAAATCTGCTTTGTTAGCCAGCACTAGCAACGTTGCTCCAGCGAGCCTTTCCTCCCGCAACAGTGAGTGCAGCTCCCGTGCGCAGTCCGAAAGCCTCCTTGCATCTGCACTGTCCACCACCCACGCCACCCCGTCCGTACTCTCAAAGTAATTCTTCCAATATGACCTAATGTTGTATAACAATAATTGTGTGTGTCTTTTATTGTCACCCTCAATATAACTTTTTATTAAAAAAGTCAAATATGTAGGGTACTCAAATATAATCATTCTATGTAACCCTCAATACAAGCATTCATATTAAAAAACATGATTCTACAATATAAATGTGTTTTAATCCATAATACCTAAATGTGTAATAAAAAATATATAATTTATAAACACCAGATATGGGCCTGAAGATCTCAGTGTTTTTTATGGTGTGAGTTAAAGGAATGCTTTTTTATTTTGTGATCGGCATATAGTTTTGTATATACACAAAACTATATGGCGACCAAATTGTGTGTGTATTAACTAACTGCAAGGAATATACTACTTATCCTATTGATATAGTTGACATATTTATAAAATAGTGAGCGGGTGGGCGGCCGCGCATGCCCCGGATTGGTTGGCCTGTTCCTAGCTGGAGTGGTGGCATTATTTGTAGTGATTGCCGCAAATTGAATTTAAATGAATCTGTATTATTGTAAACATGTACATTTATTTGAAAAGAATATGAGCCGAGTATCTTGTCATTTCTCATCACGGAATCATTCCGAACTGATGGTAGATTTGACATATCATAAGAGTCTGATAAGATCTTTCTAATAGAATAAAGATATTTTAAATTTACAAAGTTACTTTTTTCTCAGTTCTTCTTGATTTAAAACTGCTTTGCAAACTGTGAATATATGTAAATTTCTCACAAGAAGTGTATTTATTGTAACCTGAGTGATTTCTGTCCGCCGACGTCCCAAATATTCAGCTTGAAACCACGGTGTTCTAAAGTCTTGATGTTGAAGCCGAGGGTTGGAGATATAGTGTCTATTGGTTCTCCATTAAATCTTTTCAATATTGTAGTTTTACCCGCATTGTCTAGTCCTCTGGAAACGAGTGCTAAGGAAATTATTGGCCGTGAAACAATCAGATGTTTATATTAAAATTTATTTATAATAAAAAGGATACAACATAAGTATTCTCATCTCCTTTTCCTTTTGCCGTAACTTCTTCAATATTGTCAGGAAACCCATAATAAAAGACTTTTTATGTTAAGGGTAAATTATTTTATTTTTAATGAATTAATAAGGTAAAACAAAAATATTTGACTCAGAGTAAGCAATAAGACTGATAGACTGTTAACAAGTGATTGATAGTTTGACACTCAGACTGACTGAAATGTGACCCAGGTGCTGATTAATACAAAGAAGTTTGATAAAAGGAATTTAAACCTTATTAATTTCTTATATAATAGTAATATTTCGTTACCTTTTGATTAAGACAATGAATTTATATGTGATTTCATAAAGCGGAATACTGTCTCATTCGTACAATTTGCCAGTATATAATAAAAAATATTAAGTAATACATGTTCTTATCTCAAATCTTACAATGTACAGTTTTAAAAAAATATTCTATTTAAGTTTGTATCTCTAATTTATAACTTTATTGTGTCTAACAATACTTCGTATTTATTGAAATATTTTTTTCAAAAGGAGGAAATTACATAATAAACTATTTGTGACCGAAATAGTTTATTATGTATGTGTTATTTAACATTACTCTGTTCACCAAAGAGTATAACATAATTAACTAATTATAGAGACCACTTCGTTAATGAATCGTTTTGTCGGTACTCCACAGGTAAACACAAAAATTCATAATCCGTAATCAAATCATCTAAAAAATATGAATCAAAGTAAATGACTATATTTTCGTAAAGATTATACTGATAACAAACGCATTTTTTTTGTACGAGTACATTAATGAGTACTCATTATTGTGTATTTTTGTTTATTCTCAATTTACTTCCAATAATACATTTTAAAGTTAGAAGTAATAAGTAGTAGTTAATAGTTTCGAAAGCAGTATAAGGTACATTCAAGTACACAACGATTTATGATATGTACAAAAATTGTACTAAAGAACATTATGTTTTGTCTGTACTTGCCATAAGCAAGCAACCCGTTTTTCAGGAAATCGAATTGGAATCCATTATTGACCATAGAGTAAAATATCTAATCCATCCATGGCCGAAGTCGTCTCTGTCAAATCTTTTATTTAATTTTCGTACAATATGAAGCGTCTTCAATGATTTTATATGGGTATATAGTGTGGTAGTGATCGTGTGGCGACGCGGTCTCGGTGATACTGCTCGCGGGTCGGCGGCACCATGTTCAGCGGAACGGTGCGGGTAAGAGTTTGTGAGGCGACAGGTCTCAGGCCGACCGACTTTCAGAAAAGGCACACTGTGACCTTCGGGAAACCAGGTGAGCTTTGTGTACGAGCTTAAAATTTAGCTACGGCATATGCCCTAACTGTGTGATTTAAAATGTTCTGCATCATGCTAGCTTTGGATGTATTATTACGCACGAAAAAGGCGTTGCATGTTTACAAATTGGGTGGTTGGTAATAAATGGTGTCTTTCTGCAGACGACCAGCCGATAGACCCGTATGTCTCGATCGACGCCGACGAGCACCATCTAGACCGTTCGACCACGAAGCCTAAAACATTTGATCCAGTGTGGAACGAAACTTTTATACATGAGGTTCACAATGTCAGCAGGTATGTAACGAACAATTTTTCTATCACTTATCAACACTCTGTACTTGATACCTGGCTATTTTTAATAATAATGTCTATCTATACATCTATACATATAAATAAAATTGGAGTGTCTGTTTGTAATAGTAAAATAACCATGTTTTACTACATGCATATGAATATAAATGCGGTACATACACCAAAATATTTTTTTTACAATTTTTGTCTGTCTGTCTGTTGGTCTGTTTGTTCCGGCTAATCTCTGAAATGGCTGGACTGATTTTGACGGGATTTTTTTTTGGCAGGTAGCTGATGTATATATGAGGAGTAACTTGGGCTACTTTTATTTTAGAAAATATATTTTATATTAGAAAAATAAAGTTAAATTCCATGTGAACGAAGTTGCGGGAACAGCTAGTATTAAATAAAACATATTTGCTTTGGGGTTAAATCAGCAATTCTCTGGGGCTTGGTTTATTGAGTTGTAGGGTACCAGATACTTATCTGGGGCAGTTACGAAGGCAGTTGCTAGCAGTACCTTGCAGCAGAACTGACTTGTTAAATAAGGTACTAGACGCTCACACTGGCCACTCTCAATCAAATAGGAGAAAGAACAGATTTGTTTTATTTGTAGTCTGTGTGAATTCAAAAAAACAACATTGTATATTATATGTTTCACTAGCCGTTCCCGCGACCACATCTGCTTTGAATTTAACTTTATTTCTCTAAAATAAAAGTAGCCTAAGTTACTCCTTATATATACATCAGCTACCTGCCAATAAAAGTCCCATCAAAATCAGTCCAGCCATTTCAGAGATTATCCAGAACAAACAGACACACAGACAAAAATTGTAAAAATGTTATTTTGGTATATGTACTGTATTTATATTCATATGCATGTAGTAAAAAACGGTTATTTTAATATTACAAACAGACACTCCAATTTTATTTGTATCTATAGATTAGTACAAGAAAATGGCATACTGCAGTACCCAAAATAATGGGTAACCAAGGCAATAATGAAGAATACAAATCATAATGATATCATATTGACATAGTCATATTATATTGATATAGTATTAGATACACTATTGTATTGGGCTTAGGCCTGTAGTAATAGTTGTGTAATTGTAGGTTGGACTCCATTTTCAGCGATTGGCCTCTCATTCGGGCCGTTGTGCGTGAATAGTTGTGTAAATAAATAAGTATTATTTGTTGTAGTTTGGGAATCACCGTGTTTCACGATGCGGCTATACCACCAGACGACTTTGTGGCAAACTGCACAATCCCCTTTGAAGATCTGATGCATAGAGATAAAGAAGCTACAGACTTTTGGGTGAGTGTTTTAATTTTTAATATGCACATTTTTTTTTCTATCTGCAATCACCCTACAGGCTGTAATCAGATTTTTTGGTGTTATGGGCCCTAAGGTGTCATCTCATTTACTTTCTTTAGATCTAGATGGATAGTTATTTATATCCAGTAGTTTTGAAGCTAACTGGTTCTTATGGCCAGCTAAACTGTGTTTATATCTTCGACAGGCTTTCTGTATCTCTTCTTTTACAGTTGGCATTTCTAGATCTATATGTACTTCAATGTTTTTATGAACCAAGTAGCTCTGACTATGTGCTAATTTGCACATAACAATAACAAGTTTGAAATTAACTATTATTGTAATTAGTTATAATAATCTCATAATCTTAAGATAAGATAAGATATTTGCAGTGCACAAGTTATTATCAAGATTTAACATAATGTTTGTTTGTCTGATAATAACTTTGTGATATGAAAACAGAATTGTAAAGAGTGCATGTTCATAATCGAGTTTAGTGTTTGAGTTAGTGATTATGTTTAATGTAAGGCGAAGATTCTCTTTGCCCGATCCTCGATATACACAACTGGATGAGCAGGTGGGGCCAATTATTATGATGATTTGATTATGATAATAATTGGAGAATTTCTTTAGTTTAGTTTTTAATTATCTTGCAAATGTAAAGTTCAATTAAAGTGAAGGATTGGTTTTTAAATAATATTTAGGGCATGAGGAGTGGACATTTGTATATCTAAATATATATAACTCAAAGGTGACTGACATAGTGATCTATCAATGCACAGCCCTAACCACTGGATGGATCGGGTTGAAATTTGGCATGCAGGTAGATGTTATGACGTAGGCATCCGCTAAGAAAGGATTTTGATTAATTCTATCAAAGTTATTAATATGTGGAATTAATCTTTATATATAAAAATTACGTGTCACATTATTTGTCCGTGATGGACTTCTAATTTACTGAACCAATTGCAAATTTGATTTGTACATTGTGTGCAATTTGATCCCACTTGGAAGGTAGGATAGCTTACATCTCAATTTGTAGTCGCAATATTATTTTATTTAAGAACTTTAGCCACAGCAACGCATGGCCGGGTGTGCTAGTGTTTTATGTAAGCTAACTAATTTTTTAAGTATAAATATAAATAATAATAATATCTCAGGACAATTCACACAGCGCCATCTAGTCCCAAGCTAAGCAGAGCTTGTGTTATGGGTACTAAACCATTAATATAAATATGTGGATGCAGTTTTTTTTTTAAATATAAATGCATATTATACATAGCAAACACCCAGATCGATACAAACAATCATACTCATGAATACAAATGTTTGTGCCATGCTAGGAATCGAACCCGCGACCATCGGATCGTAAAGCGGCATGCTAAACCACTAGACTACTGAGGCTATCAAATAAAAATAATAATAAAGCTTCTTTGTTGGTGATAACAGTGGTGTTGCTGTTGATTAATATTATAGTAATATAAAAATAATGAATTTGCTTTTATGTTAAATTTAACAAGTTACCCTTTGACATTTTAAGTATTGGAAATCTTCATAAATTAAATATTAAGCTTGAAGTACTTTTGTAGGCTTCTATCTACTAATATAATAAGTGTATTTTTGACATTTAAATTGGATTATTTTTTGACATTTAATTTAATAATAGAAATAACTCAAGACAATTCACACAGCGCCATCTAGTCCCAAGCTAAGCAGAACTTGTGTTTGGATACTAAACAAAGGATAAGATTTTTATTAAAAATACATACAACATATAGAAAACACCTAGAGCAATACAAACATTCAAATTCATGAATAAAGATATCTTTACCATGCAAAGGAATCGAATCTGTGACTGTGGGAAGTGTATAGCAACATATTGTTACTATGTAATTTCTTGTAACCACTAGATATTGTAGTTGCTTAGGTATTGTAGCAATATAATTATTATTATAATTAACTGAAGTTTAATAATTGGAGTTAGTCCCTCAAGATACTTCTTATATATAAAATTCTCGTGTCACAGTTTTCGTTCCCATACTCCTCCGAAACGGCTTGACCGATTCTCATGAAATTTTGTGAGCGTATTGAGTAGGTCTGAGAATCGGCCAACATCTATTTTTCGTACCCCTAAATGTTAGGGGTAGTCCACCCCAAATTTTTTTTTTAAGCCAAAACAATGTTTGCCGGGACGGCTAGTAGTTTATATAATCATTACAGTTACAGTTACTAAATCAAAGTGTAAGTCAAATTTATATAGAACGAACATTAATTCCTTGTCTACGATTTCAAGTTGTTGTCTATATACTACTACTACTAAAAAACATTTAGGCTCTAGAAGTCCCAGTTTGCAGTGGTAGTGGATTTAACCCCATCCCCAGCTCCCTCTGTGTTTTAAATCTAGACACAGTCACAGATTCGATTCCTTTGCATGGTATACAATATCTTTAGTTATGAATTTGATAGTTTGTCTTGGTCTGGCTGTTATATATTAATTTAATTTAAGTAAAATTATTGGAGACTAAATTAATGTTAATATACAAATGTTTTGTTTCCAGGTGGACTTAGAACCTCAGGGGAAGTTGCATCTCAAAATTGATCTGAAATGGAATTCTCAAGGTCAGTATTATATATTAATATTCATTCTACGTCCAATGAGTTGTAAAAAATAAACTGGGGATTATTTGAAAATTTGCTTTCGCACGGATGCATTGCAAATTTTTTAATTTCTTGACTTGTTCTATACTATACTACTACTACATGGTTGAATTCTATGTATAATAGTTTATCTATACATATAAATAAAAATGGAGTGTCTGCAATACAGTGGACCCGCGGTAATCCGGCCCCTGTCTAATCCGGCCCCCCTTGTAATCCGACATTGTCTATTATTTGTTATTGAATATTACTTTGACAATATACTTCAGAGTGCATATACATACATACATATATAACATAGAATCTTATCACTGGATCTGTAATTTGTCGGATTACAAGATACTCTTTTGTAAAAAATTCCGGACTATAAGCAGAGGACCCTTAAGCAGCACTCTATAATCCGACAAATACGATGGTCCGACACTGCCCTGCAAAACGTTTGTCGGATAACCGGGGGTCCACTGTATATGTATATAATATAAAGAATCATCATTGGATCTATAATTTGTCGGATTACAAGGTACTTTTTTGTAAAAAAATATCCTGTCTATAGGGGACCCTTAGGCAGTACTCTATAATCCGACAAATTCGATAGTCCGACACTGCCCTGCAAAATGATTGTCGGACTACCGGGGGTCCACTGTATTGAAATAACTTTTACTACGTGCATATAAATATAAATACGGTACATACACCAAAATGTCATTTTTTACAATTTTTGTCTGTCTATCTGTCGGTCTGTTTGTTCCGGCTAATCTCTGAAGCTTAGGAGTAACTTAGGCTGCTTTTATTTTTGAAATATAAAGTTAATATCCACGCGGACGAATTCGCGGGAACAGCTAGTATTACATAACTAGCTACTCGCCCTGGCTTCGCACGGGTATTCATGTATTATATATATAAACCTTCCTCATGAACCACTCTATCTATTAAAAAAAACCGCTTCAAAATCCGTTGCGTAGCTTTAAAGATTTAAGCATACACAGGGACGGACAGACAGCGACAGCTACTTCGTTTTATACTGTGTAGTGATGACTGAAATGTACAATTAGGAATGAAGAAGACAATGAAGGATAAATATAGAAGAATAGAATAGACAATCAGTTATATAATATTCTTCTCTTATTTATTTTTAAATTCATTATTGATATTGTTTGATTGTTTTTTGAACTTGACTCTTTAGGAATTGGTTAAATATTGACATTTTGTATGTTGTAAACGAGGATGCTAAAAATTTAATGATTGTTAAAAATGTTATAATCGTAGGAATTTTTGTGTGTGTATATATATATGTATCTTTAACCATTTTACTGCAGACTATTAGTATATGGACGCATTGTAAGAACACGAAAACTGCGTAGAGTCGATATATTAAAGTATTGTTTGTTCTATTTTGACGACCTCGGTGGTCTAGCGGTGAAGCACACCGCTTTACGACCGATGGTCGCGGGTTCGATTCCTCGCACGGCACAAACATTTGTATTCATGAATATGATTGTTTGTATCGGTCTGGGTGTTTTCTATGTATAATATGTATGTATTTACAAAAAAAAAATATCTATGTATATGTATCAGTTATCTAGTACCCATAACACAAGCTCTAGCTAGCTTAACTTGGGTCTAGATGGCTCTGTGTGAATTGTCCTGAGATTATTATTATTATTATAAAAATATTAATAATATAAATACATAGATACATAAAAATAAATATAAAATATATATATATTTGTATAGTTGGATATGCCACATGTACACATATAAATGTAACGAAAATCTCTCTATATTAGATACAGATATATGTTTTTTTATATGTGATATGTACATATAAATATAAAAACTACGGACATCTCTCTGTATCAGATAAAAATATATAATTTTTCGTAAACTTTTAATTAATAGAACATATTTGACATTCTGTCTAAAGTCTCTGTTTTTTTTTTACAAACTGTTAGCAGTAAAATGGTTAAACTTTTGGGGAAATTTTCTGCTCATTTATTTTTATGCTTTTTTATATATTTTGTTTCTATTATATATATTGTTTAGTAGTATAATTGAAAGTATAATTTAAATTTTTAATTCCTTGTAATATATATTTCAATATTAATTATAGTAGTTTATTGTTAGACTATATAGTTCATTTTGTTAGTAACAATTATCTTGACCTATGTTAGTTAAAAAATGTTGCCCCACCTTGTGTCTCAGAATGGGATTTAATAATAATGCAAAATAATTGTAGAGTTACTTAATATAGTGCTATATTTAGCACTGCTATAGTAATTGACAACATTACTATCATATTTTTATATCTATAGTAGACAGATATATATAAAATATCTCTTGTATGTGTGGTAGATATTTGTATTGCAGTCAATGAAGTATAATTTTATTGTAATAACTTTTTTTTATTGGGTTGTTTGGGTTATTGTAAGGTGCCTGTAGCACCTATAGCACTGCGATCTATAATACATAGATCTATTGTGCTCGCCTTTTTAAAGAGTTCGCTACCTAGACCCGTCAGGGACAAGAATTGAAGGATATTCTTAGGAGTGATTTTTGTAATAACTTACTAATTATATTATATATATAATAAGTTTATGCTTATATTGTCTATAATTATTTGATAGTGGTATTGTATGTATTATATTATTGTTTCGGTACACGAGCCCCGCCATACGTAGGGACCGTATGGCTCGGTTCGGTTACCGGGTGTCACGGTGCAGTCCCGCGGCTGGGCCGCTCTGTACTCGACGGTGGCATTGCAGCGGGCGTGGAGGTGTGCCGGGCGGGGGGCTGCGCGGGGGGCGCGGAGGGCGCGGGCGGGGGCGCGGGCGGCGGCGGGGGCGCGGGCGGCGGCGGCGGGGGCGCGGGGGGCGGCGCGGGGCGGCCGGGCGGGGGCGTGCGGGAGTTCAGGGAGGGGGCGGGGTTCGCGCGGCGGCGCGGCGCCATGCGGCGGCGGGTGCACCAGGTCAACGGACACAAGTTCATGGCCACGTTCCTGCGGCAGCCCACCTTCTGCAGCCACTGCCGCGAGTTCATCTGGTCAGTCGCACGCAGTTTTTTAATGGATGTACTTTCGAAATCGAATCAGCTCTTGTCCATTCTCATTCTTTATCTATGTTTACATGCACTTCGCATGTAAGTGTAGATAAATGAGTTTCTTGTCAGTTCTTCTCACCTCGGAATCGTCCGGAACTGACGGTAGATTTGACCTATCATAAGAGACTAGTAGACCTACATGAATAAAGATATTTTGAATTGAATTGAATGTTGGAAGAAAAGAAAAGAAATTTTCTAATACTAGCAGATTGGGTCGATGCTAATCGGTCTGTCTATTATAGTGCTCTGTAAACATTTGATTTTTCATTTGTCCCAAGCATATTTTCAGTAGCTTTTATAGCTTATGTGTTTTTTGAACTATTAAAATGTCTACTGTCAATACTGATTGTGAATTTAAAAGGAATAATTATGTCTTTTAATTTCCAGGGGTTTGGGTAAACAAGGTTACCAGTGCCAAGGTAAATTGTACTTTATTACCTGCGTTATAATGATTGTATTACAAGGTTACGGTTTATTTGTATTACTATATGTTTCGTTACAGTATGTACCTGTGTCGTTCACAAACGATGCCATTCGTTAGTCGTCACCAAATGTCCCGGGATGAAGGAAGAGGTAAGTTACATCGATTTAAATTGTATTTTTATTTATTTTAATACCCAATGTTCAAAATCTACCCTGTAACATCGTAAGCACAGATTATTATATTAGAGTCCGTTAGTTTTCTGCTCCCGCGCCTTTGCCTCCCCTCCCTTACCTAGTAACAAACGGACTGTACAGCGACCTTGACGCGCGCGCGCATTGTGTTGTGAATTAAAATAAATTAGAACTGTGTTAACCTACTGTGAAACCTACTGTGAAGCTGGAAAGCTAGCGAAGATACCTTCGAGACCGTGAAGCCCAAGAAATCCGCAGAACCATAAAGGTAAATGACTGACGCTTCCCTAACATTTTGGTAGCAGAGTAGTTTCCCAAACACCCAATGTTTTGACAGTTGGTGGAATGTGGGAACTGTCCTCTATACAACTTATACACACATCTATACATATAAATAAAATTGGAGTGTCTGTTCGTAATATTAAAATAACCGTTTTTTACTACATGCATATGAATATAAATACGGTACATACACCAAATTTTTTTTTTTATAATTTTTGTCTGTCTCTCTGTACCGGCTAATCTCTGAAATGGCTGGACCGATTTTGACGGGACTTTTTTTGCAAGTAGCTGATGTAATAAGGAGTTACTTAGGCTACTTTTATTTTAGAAAATAAAGTTAAATTCCACGCGTCGAAGTCGCGGGAAAAGAGTCATAAAATAAATTGTGACTGTGGTTACTTTACACATTTCTCCTATCACAAGTATTTAATTATGTTTACAAGGAGATCGATAATCAACATAGAAATCGCTACGCACTCATTATTAGTGTAATCAGATAGTATTGTCAGTGCTATGGATTTTAAGTTTTTCTATAAAAACATTATTGTCGTTAACGAATTCTTCAATTTTATAGTAAGCTTTTTTGCAAAGGAAGTATTTTATATGACATTTAAATCTTTTTTCAGGCAGATTTATAACAGACTCTGGTATTTTGTTGTCAAACCTTACGCAATTGCCATAAAACGAATTACTAACTTTAGTTAAACGACATTTAAGTAAAATTTGTTATTGTTGCGTAAGCTTCTAGTAGCGTAATCACTGACTGTTATGAAATCGCCTATAATCTTCCTGTCATAAACGTATAGAGTACGGTTAGATGTGAAGTAGTTAGTGAGTGTGGACGTGACCGCAGCAGCAGAGCGGCGTGGGCGTGTCGGGCGGGCAGCGCTTCAACGTGAACGTGCCGCACCGGTTCACGGTGCACTCCTACAAGCGATTCACGTTCTGCGACCACTGCGGCTCGCTGCTCTACGGACTCATCAAGCAGGGGCTGCAGTGCGAAGGTACGCTTCTGCTCTTATACATAGCTATGCTATAAAAATATACACTAACATACCAAATAATATATTGGAATTAGCCTTGTATAAATTCAAGACAATGTTAAATCATATTTACTGTACGAAGCCTATTACTCACTAAACGATTACTCGAATCTGTTTGTAATATTGAAATAACAGTTTTTTACTACATGCATATGAATATCAAATACGGTACGTACACCGAAATAATATTTTTTACAATTCTTGTCTGGCTGTCTATTCGTTCCGGCTAATCTCTGAAATGGCTGGACGGATTTTGACGGGACTTTTATTGGCAAGTAGCTGATGTAGTAAGGAGTAAGTTAAGCTACTATTGTTTTAAACAAATCTTTTATTTTAGAAAAATAAAGTTAATTTACACGCGGACGAGTCATGCTTGTCAGGGAAAATACTGTACGTGTGTAAAAAGTTCAGTACCTGTATACCCCTGTTAGAGTTTCGCACCTTATGCCCAATTTACACTCAACCCGAGTGGACAATTTCTATTCAATCTCTGGACAATTTACACAGCGCCATCTAGACCCAAGTTAAGCTAGTTAAAGCTTGTGTTATAGATACTAGACAACTGATACAAATACATAGCACACTCGTCATTCAAATAATCGTTTAGTGAGTAATAGGCTTTGCACAGTAAATATTATTTAACAGATGTTTTGAATTTATTTAAGGGTAATTTCAATATATCCTTTGGTATCTTATTGTAAATTTTTATACCTATTCCCATAAAAGACCTATTGACTTTTTCTAAACGATACTTGGGGACAGCAAGTTTGTCTTTAAATCTAGTATTACTATTATGAATATTGCTGTTTCTTGGAAATAAGTCAAGATTTTTATGAACACTTAGGATATTTGAATATATAAATTGTGAAGCAACGGTGAGAATATTTGCCTCTTTGAATTTCTCTCTTAAAGAGACGACGACGACTCTTCATATAGTAGATCGCGCAATAGTATAGTAGAGTAGAGTAGAGTCTAGAGAGTTTACAGAGTTCTGTTCAGAAGAATTATATTTAGTAAAATTATATTACATTCCAGTATGTTCTATGAACGTGCACAAGCGATGCCAGAAGAATGTGGCGAACAACTGCGGCATCAACACGAAGGCGATGGCCGAGATACTCAACGAGATGGGCATCTCCCCCGACAAGAACCCCAGGCCCAGGCCCTCCAAGGTACCAATAAAACCCTTGCTGACTATATTGCTATAGAGTTAATACTCAACGAGACGGGTATCTCGCCCAACAGGAACCCCAGGCCCAGGCCCTCAAGGTACCAATAAATCCCTTGTTGACTATATTACTATAGAGTTAATACTCAACGAGACGGGTATCTCGCCCAACAGGAACCCCAGGCCCAGGCCCTCAAGGTACCAATAAATCCCTTGTTGACTATATTACTATAGAGTTAATACTCAACGACTTGGACATTTCGCCCAATAAGAACCCCAGGCCCAGGCCCTCCAAGGTACCAATAAAACCCTTGTTGACTATATTACTATAGAGTTAATACTCAACGAGATGGGTACCTCGCCCGACAAGAACCCCAGGCCCAGGCCCTCCAAGGTACCAATAAAACCCTTGTTGACTATATTACTATAGAGTTAATACTCAACGAGATGGGCATCTCGCCCGACAAGAACCCCAGGCCCAGGCCCTCCAAGGTACCAATAAAACCCTTGTTGACTATATTACTATAGAGTTAATACTCAACGAGATGGGTACCTCGCCCGACAAGAACCCCAGGCCCAGGCCCTCCAAGGTACCAATAAAACCCTTGTTGACTATATTACTATAGAGTTAATACTCAACGAGATGGGTACCTCGCCCGACAAGAACCCCAGGCCCAGACCCTCCAAGGTACCAATAAAACCCTTGTTGACTATATTACTATAGAGTTAATACTCAACGAGATGGGTACCTCGCCCGACAGGAACCCCAGGCCCAGGCCCTCCAAGGTACCAATAAAACCCTTGCTGACTATATTACTATAGAGTTAATACTCAACGAGATGGGCATCTCGCCCGACAAGAACCCCAGGCCCAGGCCCTCCAAGGTACCAACAAACACCCTTGGTGACTACGTTACTATAGAGTTAATACTCAACGAGTTGGACATCTCGCCCAATAAGAACCCCAGGCCCATGCCCCGCTGGGTACCAACAAACACCCTTGTAGTCAAGAAGGGTGTTTGTTGGTACCTTGGAGGGCGTGGGCGTGGTCGGCACTATAGAATTAATACTCAACGAGATGGACATCTCGCCCAACAAGAACCCCAGCTGAGACCCCAGGTTCATCCTTACTAATTCTGTCTGTCTATCACTCTTTCACGCCAAAACTACTGAACCGATTTAAATGAAATTTGGTACACAGATAGTCTCAAGAATGGACATGGCTAATTTTTCCATGATAAAAAAAGGATAAAAAGGGGGTAGAAAGTGTTGTCATTTTGATTGAAACTTATTTTTCACTATTGATTGAATATAAGTAAAGAAAAAGTAAAGATTTTGACGGGACTTTTATTGGTAGGTAGCTGATGTAATAAGGAGTAACTTAGGCTACTTTTATTTTAGACAAATAAAGTTAAATTCCACGCGGACGAATTCGCGTGTACAGCTAGTATATAATATTTATATTAAAAATTAATGTTTAATCATGAATTTATTGATGATTGAACATATACGTTTGTGTAGTACCTGAACACGGCGCTACTAGAGGGCGCGCCCGAGCTCGCGTCCTCCGGAGACTCAGACTCCAAGGAACACGCTGAGAAGCACGACGACAAAGGTAAGGGACACCATCCACACCACCCAGCTAATGGTAACAGTAGCTACATAATAATGACAGTTCATAATGTATATTTGAAGTATGTACAGAAAATATATGTACAATACTTCTGCCTGGGAACCTGCAATATTCCAGACTCTGGTAATTACCAACTACCAACTAAGTCACAGGGTTAGGTTGGCTGTAACAGAAAGGCAAAGGTTTGTTCCTTTTTTTTATATTACTGTAGTTATTTGAAGTTACAATTGACATAAAGAATACATATAATACGAGATGGGTTAAGAAAGGGCAGATCCCCTCCGATCGATCCCCCATCCAATTCAAACGGGGATCGAAATTACGACGGCCTGAGCCGAGGTTCGAACCCCTAGTGGTGTCCTCAGACTAAAGTCGTATCCGTCAGGCGGGAGTTGGCCTTCAGCCGCTCCATAAGTCCTTCCTTTGGTTTGGAGTGCCATCTGCACTCGCCCCCTAACGTCCGGTGAAGCTGTAAAGGCCAGCTGCAGCCAACATTAGAGTAGTCCGAATAAAAAGGGCAGATTCCTGATGACAAACAACAATAAATAAAGATCACAACACAGCATCATCTAGTCCTAAGACAAGCAGAGATTATGTTATGGGTCCTAGACTACTGATATAAATATTTAGATATATTTTTGTAAATCCATACATAACTCAGACCGATACAAATAATCATACTCATGAATATAAATGTTTGTGTCTTGCGAGGAATCGAACTGCGACCATCGCTAAAATTATAATATTGTCAAGTAACATATGTGCTAGTATTAAAGTTAAAAATGCTGAATCTACAATTTCAGAACGACTATTTTTAATTACATTTCATCTTAATTTTATACAATTATGTATTTATATGCATGATAATGTAATACAACGAGTTTTGTTATGTTAGTGTTTATATAATGTTCTGTTTGTTAGTTGATAGATTAATTTTGTTATGTCCAGTGTTTGAATAGATGCATGTTACAGTTAATATTTTATATATATGTTTGCTTTGTCTAATTGTTTGTTTAATTTTAACGTACAGCAATTATGTTAGATAGATGAAGTTTAGATCAATAGATTATAATTCGTATTGCCAACATTAAGAGGTTAATGAGTGTACACAAAAATAATGTATGGGTACTAGACAACTGATATAAATACATGGACGCATTTTTTTTGTAAATAAATACATATTATACATAGAAAACACCTAGACCGACCGAGAATCATACTCATGAATATAAATATTTGCAACGTGCGAGGAACCGAACCTGCGACCATCGGATAGTAAAGCGGTGTGCTTAACCACTAGACCACCGAGGCTGTCAACTGTCAGTTATAAGTATAATTAGTAAATCACGGGATTTTACCACGTTTTATTTTTGTTGAGTTCCCGATATTTCGGCAGTGTTTCAACCGCCATGATCACGGGTGAACTGAAGAGCAGCTGGTAGATGGTAAATAAATCTTTTACGGGCAGACATATTCGTCTACCTTCACACGTCTTCGTTTGTTGCTACTATTGGTTCAGTTAGTTGAGATTATTATACTTTGTTTTATATTGTAACATAAAACAAAGTATGATAGTCGTAACTAACTACAGTAATTTATGAATACTAGAAAATAATTATCTATACATACATATAAATAAAATTGTAGTGTCTGTTTGTAATATTGAAATAACCGTTTTTTACACTACACGCATAAAAATATAAATACGGTACATTAATTTTAAACTTTCGTGTTTAATATACATTATTTAAATTATTAACCGGGTCTTAACACGAATAATTTTATGGCAAATAAAGGTATTTACCTTTCTCGACGTTTCGACTAGGTTTCACTAGCCGTGGTCACGAGCTGACTGGAGTAACAGCGATGTCAATGTAGATAGGTGACAGCAGTTTCTTCATCTACCGTCACTAGATTGTTTAACGAAAGTTCGCGACACAGCACTCACGGTATCCGTACACTTATTGACTATTGATGCTACTGAACTTTGCTTGAATTTATTTATGACTGGATTCCACGCAGATGATAATTTTAAGCCATCCTCTCTGTTGAAATTGGGATGTTTTTTAATTTCAATCGCCTCCCGGACCATTCGTGGGTAATAGTGGCGATCAGTAGAGAGGACCTTAGGCGCATGTAGTTCAATCCAGTGATTTGTTCCAGCGTTCAGTAGATGATCGGCAATCGCTGATTTGTGTGGTTGTCGATTTTTAACCGCTGCGATGTGCTCTTTGACCCTCTCGGCTATTGGTCGTTTTGTTTGGCCAATATAAGAGCTACCACAACTACAGTCAATTTTGTAGACACCTGGAGCTTCGTAAGGTAGCTTATCCTTTGGTGAACGTAAATTGTTCGTTACTTTTGAGGGCGCATAATACATAGGTAAACCTTTATTTGCCATAAAATTATTCGTGTTAAGACTTAGTTAATAATTTAAATAATGTAACTCGTAATTCGTAGTTATTAAAGTTCAATATACAATGTCTTGGTGTTATAAATGTTTGTTATGTGTTTGTATGTGATGCTTTGTGTGGCGTGTGCAGGTGGCGGACGCAGTCACTGGGACGATCTCGCAGACATATTCACGTGTTACGATCAAGGTTCTGTTTTTTGTTTATGGTGGCGGGTATTTTGTTTATGGTTGCTTATAAGGTTGCCGCACATGATATATGTTGTTAGAAATGGGGTTAGGATTATGTAATTTGTGTCTGTATCTTATATATTATCATTGTCATACTAAACACACTTAGTCGTGCTCACTAAAATGTCCAGACATGTGGCGGCGTGGTGGGCCGGGTCATTGGGCTTCCTAAAATATAGTCGAGTGCAGTGATGGCTGGCTCATCCAACATACTTGTGAACGAGTGCTGCTTGTAGGGACTGATCTGCTCTTATCACTACGACTGATTTAATCTTATTTGTATATTTATATTTGACCCAAATAAATTAGTGCTGGTTGGTAGTTTGTATTCACACGTTTCGACTTGTAAATGTAAACTTACAAGGATTATTTAAAAGAGCAACACACAAGTTTCTTGCTTGTTCTTCTTGTGATGAGACAGCATTCCAAACGAGTAGATAAAAAACAAGATGTTATGACAATTTAAAAGAGCTTAAATTAAGTTTATTTGAATAAATGATTTTCTATTCTTTCTATTCTATTCTATAAAATTCTCGAGTCGCAATGTTTGTTACCATACTCCTCTGAAACGGCTTGACCGATTTTTATGAAATGTTATATGCATATTCAGTAGGTCTGAGAATCGGCTACTATCTATTTTTCATACCCCTAAGTGATAAGGGTTGTCCACCCCTAACATTTATTTTTATTTTTGTACACCATTTTTACTATTTTATTATTTGGCATTAAAAAATATATGCAACACGAAACTTTTACTATTCTACCATCTACCCTATTTTTTAATAGCGATATTAATACTTAAATTTATTTGGCAAAACAACGTTTGCCGGGATATACAGTCAAATACAAATATCCACACACACACAAACACACATATATAACTTGCACTATATGAAGCTAAAACCTCCTCAAACGCAAATAGAATCCCAGAAGAAACCTCAAACACTACAAATAAAATGCCAATGTACAAAACAATAGAATAGAATAGAATAGAAAATCATTTATTCAAATAAACTTACATTGAAGCACTTTTGAATAGTCATAACTTTTTTTTTTTAATCTACCGCTCATTCGGAATGCTGTCTCATCACAAGAAGAACAAGCAAGAAACTTGTGTGTTGCTCTTTTAAATAATTTATTCTTACTTACAATTTAAGTTTAAGTGTGTGAATACAAACCACCGATTAGCACTAATTTAATGAAATAATAAAATAGAAAAAAAACATTCAATATACAACAACTGGTTAAACAAGTAATAAGAGAAAATAAGTCATAGTGATTAGAGCAGACCAGTCCACACAAGCAGCACCCGTTAACGAGTATGACGGATGAGCCAGCCATCACTGCGCTCGACCATATTTTAGGGAGCCCAATGACCCGGCCCACCACGCCGCCACAAGTCTGGACATTTTAGTGAGCATGACTACTCAAAACACCAGACCACGTCATAGCTACTCACAATTGCAATTTATTACAATCGAATTGATATTGTCATTAAAAGTGATTATAATAAATTGATTAATGTTATCAAATATGCATCAATCAATAATTTATTTACGATATGTAAGTATGTAGAATAAACCAAATTCTAATCTACCACTATGAACAATCAATTGATTTACTTTCGTATTACTTGTAATAGAACTTACATACAAATCGTAACATTTCCTATGAGGTAGGCAGAAATAAACGCATCCATTTTACATTCTATACATGTACATACCTCATATATATAAAAATTGTAATAAAAATATATGATAAAATTTTACTTCTACTATAACTATCAATTTCGATTTGTTGTTGGTATACCATCTTCGTGTAATCATATAGATAAGTTAATTATTTATATTTGGTTTCATTGGTAACAAAATAAAAAAAAATGTGCAATGCAAGTTGAAATTAATAATTGTATATATTATAGTCTCTTTTTGTGTGGCAACCGTTTAATACCTTTTGTAGCAATGTTTTTCATGATCTTTACATATGTAGGTCCGCCTGAAAACGGCAACGGCACAGTGTGCCGCTCGCAGTGGGTCGACGATCTCGTCGACGTGTTCACGTCATACGAAGGTTTAAAATTCTTTCACACTTTGGTGGCGGGATATTGGGATTATTTATTTATATATTTAAGGCTAGTAATGGCCTATATCATATATAATTTATAGACTAACATACATTCATTCATCCATAATTTAAGAGCTACGCTCTTGTCGGTGGAGCTCTTGCCACTTTCTCACGACACGACTCCCATTTTGTCCTCAGTTTGTTTGATGTAGCTATGCCTTGGTCTTCCCCTCCCCCTCTTTCCTTCTATTTTCCCCTCAATAATAATTTTCATGAAATCATCGTGCCGTATCAAGTGTCCTAACATTTTTCCTCGTCTAATATACATATGAATAATATAAATAGGTATTGTCAGTGTGGTCACGGCACTGACGCCGGCAATCTGCTACAGTAACGCCGATATAACCTCTTCGGGGAGTTGTCTCTCCTCCACTGCGCTCCACTCCACCTGCGTCACCCTCAATGTCAGGTTACACCTGTCTGTATGTAGTCGATGTCCTGCTCCTTAGTGTAGGAAATAGGTTCATTGACATGGTCGGTGTACGGGGCGGGTCTACCTAAGGGCTTTTTGGGCTGCAGCCCAGGGCCCCAAGGATACAAAGGGCCCCCAGTCCCCACTGAAATACCTATTATGGCACTGGCAACCTTGAGATCAATCAACCCATTCAAGTGCGCGTCTATCGAGAGGAACGGGGATTTCTGGGCGCTTTTTTGGTCGGTGTATTTTTTTAGTTGAGTAATATAATTAGGTTCGGTTCCTCTAAGTAGATTTAGCTTACTGATTCACTATCCGCCCCTGTCGGTGTAGCAGCATGCTATAAGACCTTGGGTTCAGTGCCACAGTGATTGCGATTTACTTGCAAGTGTGTTGAAAAATTATATATGACATGTATGCGAGGTGTAACTGAAAATTTAATACCGTTTAACTAACACCTATATAGAAATACACTCTGTAGCAGTAAGTAAAGCAAAAAGTATAAGTGGCAGTAAAAAAAGGTTATATAAAATTATGAACTGTAAACACCCTGTATCGTAATGGATGGGCCATTACGATACAGGGTGTTTACAGTTCATAATTTTATATAACCTTTTTTTATACCTTACATATATAGTTATTAACATTTAAATTGAATAGCTTAATTATATGTTGTATTATAAACACCTTCTATGCATGCGTACACCTATATTACTCATATAAACGAACTATGCGCATGAGTAAAGATCTATACAGAGTCAGAGACGAGTTCAGACGTAAAATTTGTCATTAACTTTCAAGTAGCTGCTAGAAAGTTCCGGCTTGTCTTTACGCATTTTTAAGGTTTCTTATGAATATATGAAATATTGTTTTCGCAAATACTGAATGTGGTAGATATTCGCGGGCTATCTCGTATGTTTTTTTTCAATACTAAGGTTATTTTGTTCTGCAAATTGGTTTTGGTTTGTAGAAATAGTTTTGTATTGTGGAACACAGTAATCATATATTATACGTAGTGTGGAAATATTAAAGCTTGCACTCTGTTTATGTATTTACTCATGTAACTTTATGTATAAATTATTTGAGAATGTTAATTAACTTTCGAGTAATTGTATACAGTATAGCTGTTTTGTAATTTAATGAAGTACAACAACTGTGTTATATTGTAAATGGGTATTATATATTCAGGGCAGATAACAGTGGTATCGTTACGATTAGCAGCTTCTAGTTACTAGGCAGTATAGCGCAGTTTTAGCGCTAGACTCCAAAGCCTAAAAAAAAAAGAAAATTAAATATTTCTCCGTTTATATTTTTCATAGAACTATGATGAATATATCCGAAGAAATATATATATTATAGACAGTTTCTTCCTATCAAGATTTGTGTTTATAGATTGTAACGATACCATTCTTAACTTAATCCCCGTATTTAAGGGGTTGAATATAAGGGTAGTAGTGAGGTAGTGGGTAGTAGCGTGTGTGTGGTGTGCAGGGGGCGAGACAGGGGGCGGCGCGGGGGGAGGAGTGGGGGGCGTGATCGGAGCAGGGGGCGCGGGACACGACAAGGTCTCGCTCGAGGACTTCCACTTCATCAAGGTGCTCGGCAAGGGCTCCTTCGGGAAGGTCATGCTCGCGGAGAAGAAGGGCACAGAGGAGGTTCGTCAAATACATACTAACAATAGCTGCCTTTACAAGTACGCACTTTCACGCACCAATCGCCTTTAACGCGGGAAATTGACATTGTATATGTAGACAAAGAGAACAACAAGGACCGCGCGCGTTAACACGTAAGTGCGTAAAAAGTGGGCGCATTCCCGCATACAGCAATTGTGCGTGCCTGCAATCGTGCGTGTGTGCAGTCGTACGTGCGTGCAATCGTGCGTGTTTCAGCGCCTTTTTGTAATAATTGTCATTGCAAAATCGCGGACTTCAGACATAATTAACGTGTCGTTCTTTTTAGAATTTTATTTTTAATCTGTGGATTAAAAATAAAATTCTAAAAGAAAGTTAAATAACTTGATAAATACTCAGTATCACGTGCGAAAGAGTGAATACAAAAATAGTTGTAATGGAATAACTTTCGATTGCGCGCGCTTATTTTTCCGCGCTAAATTGCGAGCTCATAATGTGAAGCGCGTGAAGTATTGTATCGTATAAAGGCAGTTACTAGTAAGTAGTATAACGCGTGGATAGTTCAGTTGTTTTTCATTCAAGGGAACGAGGGATAGAAAATATGTAGGCCTTTTTCTAGTTTGATGTGACAAGAGAAAAAGAAACGTCACTAAATTTTATTAGTGACGTTTTAAAGTTTTATATTTTAAAGAACTAACTCAGCTTGCACAATGGTCTCTTATAACTGATTTGTTTTTTTTATCTTAGTATCTATTAATATTGGGTATATGTATTTGTTATTTAAGTTCTCTTATATTGCTATATAAGTGAATTTAATGGAAATTTGATCATTGAAATATCCAAAAAACACACCAGACAAATCAGTTGAATTAATTTTTTTTGTATATTTCAATGGGTTCTTTGAATATAGGATTGGATTTGGTAGGTGGTGTTTCTTTTTTACAAACAGACTACATTTATCCTGTTTGGTATTAGTGTTTTGTTTTAACTGTATATGCATGCAGGGATAATAGTAAGTAAATGTATTAATATATACATATATATGAAAGAAATATAAATAAGAAAAATAAAACAAAATAATACACATTGTAGAAATGACAGTCGATGTCTCTACATAAGAGGTATATGAGAAAAACTATTATTGGGGTACTTTACTAATGTAATAGAATCTAAAATTATGAGAGTTGCAATTTTTGTCTATTTGTTTGTATGTGCTAATCTCAGAAATCGGTTTTTTATTGAAATTAATTTAATAAATTAATTTAATAATAACATACCATTGTTTTGTATAATTTGCACGAGAGTAATTTAGTTAATAGCGTCAGGCCGAGCGGAGCTCGTGTGAATATGGGCACCGATATAAATACACATGGAGTTTTATGTTGACATAGAGGTAATGAGAGTGGTACGTGCCGTCGGTGCAGGTGTACGCGGTGAAGGTGCTGAAGAAGGACGCGATAATCCAGGACGACGACGTGGAGTGCACGCTGACGGAGCGGCGCGTGCTGGCGCTGGCTGCGCGGCACCCGTTCCTGACGGCGCTGCACTCCGCCTTCCAGACGCGCGACCGGCTCTTCTTCGTGATGGAGTACGTGCACGGCGGGGACCTCATGTTCCAGATACAGCGCGCCAGGAAGTTCGACGAGCCGCGCGCCAGGTGAACGAACAAACCTCACCACCGCCGCCACCCACGTGCTCGTCACGCCCTTCGCAAACCTCTCGTCACTCGTAAAACTTTCTCTTAGACGGCCAGCGACGTGTTTGTGATGCCTTAATGTTGCGAGTGCTCATAGAGCTCTCGTTCCTTGTTAAACTCTTTTAAAGGGCATTACAAATCGACAACGCTCTCGTAATGTCCCTTAAGTTACAGATACTGACGAATCGCACGCTATTTAAAATATTCTTTAATAAAAAATTAACAACGATCTCATTAAGAATACTTAGTTACGTACAAGTAAACCAATCAACAAACTCGTTTATCCTCTTATGCTATAAAGATTCCCATACTCATTACTTCAACAACACCGCAATTGCAAGCACTACGTTATCCATATAAAAAGTACTTCCCCCTACTCAGTGTATTTTAGAATTCAACCTGACATGGTACATTGCTCGCAATAGAGTTATTAGTCCACATTACTATCAATCACCTTCCCCCCTAGTCTTATGGTACTTTTTTTTTCAAACAATTCATAAGAATTGTCGTTGTATATTCGGTAGAACGATACGACATCTACCCATAAGCTAAGTGGCTCGATACCGTTTGAGAGATTAAGACCGAGCTGGTATCCAGGTGCTCCCGCCGAAAGATGATAGCAGTACTCCATGTGCGGCCGAACCTGCGACTTATATATGCGGGTCAGAGAAAAAAGCAATTATAAAGGTATACATAATACATATGTGGTACATGTGATATGCAGGTTCTACGCGGCTGAAGTGACGTTAGCGCTGCAGTTCCTGCACTCGCACGGCGTCATCTACCGCGACCTCAAGCTCGACAACATACTGCTGGACAGCGACGGACACTGCAAGCTCGCAGACTTCGGCATGTGCAAGGAGGGCATCATCGGTTAGTGCACTACACACTGCGCACAATACATGGCGTATTCTACACTACACACTGCGTACAATACATGGCGTATTCTACACTACACACTGCGTACTGTACACTGCGTACAATACATGGCGTATTCTACACTACACTCTGCGTACTGTACACTGCGTACAATACATGGCGTATTCTACACTACACTCTGCGTACTACACACTGCGCACAATACATGGCGTATTCTACACTACACACTGCGTACAATACATGGCGTATTCTACACTACACACTGCGTACTGTACACTGCGTACAATACGCAAACGAGGGTAACGCAGCTGAAGTCGAGTCACAACGCGAGTTTCAAAGCGTTTGTGGCCCTGGTCCCCACCAACTTGCTGCCCACCTTCATGAAAGAGGACTGGCCGAAAGGTGTGGTATATCGGCGCTACCGTGGCAGATTGCCGTCTTCAGTGCCGTGATCACACAGACAACAAAATATTTATAAACTAATACATTGATATTGCAATGTATTAGTTTATAAATATATTATATGTATGTTAGTCTATAAGGTATTTATAATATGGGCCTAGTTGCCTGAAATAAATGAATAAATACATGGCGTATTCTACACTACACACTGCGTACTGATAATACATAATACATGGCCCACTCTACACTACACACTGGAGACACGTCATATTGGACACTGTACACCAGTGTTTTCCAACGTGGGGCCTACGCCCCCCGGAGGTCAATTTGGTTTTTAAGGGGGACAATTCGAAAATTGACTGGGCGCGAGTTTAACCCTTACGCTCCGGGTCATCTAACTGCAATACTAGATTTAGATTTCAGTATCAAATTCACTGAAAATAGCAGATTGTTAAATAACTGTTTTATCACGAAATTAAAAATAAAATCTTTATTGAAGTTAACATTTAAAGTTTTTAATTATGTTTTATAAATTTTTAAAATTTTTAATTCAAACAATTTCCTAGTGATATATTCCTAAAACATGTTAATTTAGTTTCTTAAGCGAACAATTCAGTTTTTTAGTATTAATTATTATGTATGTAGGGGGGGGGGGGGGGGGGGGGGGGGGAGTTAAGAATTTTAGAAAGGGTACGGTGGGTATGTGGGTACGGTACAACACTGTTGTCAGTTGGGAAACAGTACAGGTCCGACCAAGTTTGGGGACTACAAAAGTATAAAATTGTTTTGTAGTAAATTAATAAATGTTAATTTACATAAATAAATATATTATTGTTATAAACACTGCTATACACAATACACTACACACCGCCCATAGAGACTTTATACTGATGTTTATGTTCTATTTTGTATTTAAACTATGAATTATGTTTTACAGATGGCGCCACAACTACCACATTCTGCGGCACTCCTGATTACATCGCGCCTGAGGTGAGTGTGCACATGATCTGTAATAATAATAATAGTGTAGAAAATGAAAAGATTCTTGTATTAGTCAGCTTGAAAGGAGAATAAAAAAACATGTTAAATATTACTAAATATACTTTAGATTTACCGCGTCGTGTTCAATAAATCTGCGTTGCGTGAGAATGAGTCTTAGTCCGCTTGAAAGAAGATCCTAAAATGTGATAAATACTCCAACTTACCTTATTTTTTCGCCGCATAGTTCTATTAGGGTTCACCTCAGTCATCTTAGTCATTGCGAGAGTGTTTTAAGGAATCAAATATCCTCACCGTTGCTTCTCAATACATTTATGAAAAGATCATCTATGCCAGAAGGAATATAGATAGTTTCAAAAGAGTTAGTGATTGCACTAATAAAAGCTTACGTAACAATAACAAACTGATTTTACCTAAATGTCGTTTGGCTAAAGTTAGTAATTCGTTTTATGGCAATTGCGTAAGGTTTTACAATAAAATACCAGAGTCTGTTATAAATCTGCCAGAAAAAAGATTTAAATGTCAAATAAAACAGTTCCTTTGCAAAAAAGCTTACTATAAAATTGAAGAATTCGTTAACGATAATAATGTTTTTATAGAAAAACTTTAAATCTATAGCACTGACAATATTATCTTATTACATTAATAATGAGTGCGTAGCGACTTCTATGTTGATTATCGCATGCCTCTTACTTGTTACAGCGTACTTATTTACTTAACACAACATCTATTCAAAAGAGCAACACACAAGTTTCTCGCTCGTTCTTCTTGTGATGAGTCTGCATTCCGAATGAGTGGTAGAATCAAAATATGACTATTCAAAAGTGCTTTTAATGAGTTTATTTGAATAAAGATTATTTCTATTTCTATTTCTATTTCCTCGATATTGGAGAAAATTCCGGTAATTTAAAAATATTTATAGAAGGTAGTTTCATTACCACGACGAATTCATAGATGACAACATATCAAGTAAATAATTAGTTTATTAGCATACAACGTTATAATTTGTTTATCTCATTGCTTTCTTGATTTAATTATTTTAGAAATATGAAAGCGTAGCGGTTTTTGTATTGATTGCCGCATGCATTCTTATGTAAAATGTGAATACTATAACCATCAGATGGCAATTGTGAGTAGCTATGACGTGGTCTGGTGTTTTGAGTAGTCATGCTCACTAAAATGTCCAGACTTGTGGCGGCGTGGTGGGCCGGGTCATTGGACTCCCTAAAATATGGTCGAGCACAGTGATGGCTGGCTCATCCGTCATACTCATGAACGGGTGCTGCTTGTGTGGACTGGTCTGCTCTAATCACTATGACTTATTTCCTCTTATTAATTGTTTAACCAATTGTTGTGTATTGAATGTTTTTTCTATTTCATTATTTAATTGAATTAGTGCTAATCGGTAGTTTGTATTCACACACTTAAACTTAAATTGTCAGTAAGAATAAATTATTTAAAAGAGCTACACACAAGTTTCTTGCTTGTTCTTCTTGTGATGAGATAGCTTTCCATATGAGCGGTAGGTTAAAAAAAAATGTGATGACTATTCAAAAGTGCTTCAATGTAAGTTTATTTGAAGAAATGATTTTCTATTCTATTCTATTATTACTCGGTATCGTTAAACTTGTTGCGTATAACTCTTACGCATCTCTGTATAAGAGAAGGGAGTTTTTGTAAGTCACGGCATTCGGTCGACGAACACAGAACGTGCCGGTTGTATTTTGGATACTCAAGTGGCGTGAAGTTGTATTAGATACGGGTTTAACCCGGATTTAGTTGGGATTTCTCTTCCGATAACCGGTATTAAAGCCTAAGTCGTCATTATAACTAGCGATTCTGACAGTGATTAAGGAGTATAGCGTGTGTGTGGTGTCCAGATCCTGCAGGAGCTGGAGTACGGTCCGTCGGTGGACTGGTGGGCGCTGGGCGTGCTGCTGTACGAGATGCTGGCCGGCCAGCCGCCCTTCGAAGCCGATAACGAGGATGATCTCTTTGAGAGCATCCTGCACGACGACGTGCTCTACCCCGTCTGGCTCTCCAAGGACGCCGTCTCCATACTCAAGGGTGAGTCCGCAAGACCCACCCTGTTCGACACTCTTTAAAAAAATAATCATTAATTTCCCCTTTTAAATCCTTAGAATCCTTTTTTCTTTATTTATATTTAATTAACAGCGTATTATATAATTTCCAAGTTTCTAGCATTAAAAATTAAATATTTTCATCTCCCCTTTCAACCCCTTACAACCCTTTTGTTTTATTTATATTTAAATAACAGCCTAAAAGATACGTTTCAAGCTTTTTGCTTTAAAGATTACGATATTTTCATACAACCCTTCATCTCCCCTTTCAACCCCTTAGAACCCTTTTGTTTTATTTATATTTAAATAACAGCCTAAAAGATACGTTTCAAGCTTTTTGCTTTAAAGATTACGATATTTTCATACAACCCTTCATCTCCCCTTTCAACCCCTTAGAACCCTTTTGTTTTATTTATATTTAAATAACAGCCTAAAAGATACGTTTCAAGCTTTTTGCTTTAAAGATTACGATATTTTCATACAACCCTTCATCTCCCCTTTCAACCCCTTAGAACCCTTTTGTTTTATTTATATTTAAATAACAGCCTAAAAGATACGTTTCAAGCTTTTTGCTTTAAATATTATGATATTTTCATACAACCCTTCATCTCCCCTTTCAACCCCTTACATCCCTTCTTCTTTATTTATATTCAATCAATAGGCTAAAAAATAAGTTTTAAGTTTCTAGCTTACAACCCTATACAATTTCGTATTAAAAGTAACTTATGACTTTTTTGATGGTCTGGATTATCTGCGTACTAATTTTTTGTGTACAAAATTAAAATATCGTACTTTAGTAAGTCGGGTATTCGGTTTGGAGAATGAGATAAGGCAGTGGAATCACAAGGTATTGAGGCACGACAACTTTTGTCCTCCATATCACCCTGTACGGCAACGCATACAGGGTGATATGCTTTGGACGGTAGATGATCGTGATGGTGTCGATGCGGGGACTGTTTTTTTTTTGGTTCTGTTTATCCTTTATCGGAAAGGCAAAAACTGCACCCATACAGCCATGTCTTCATATTTTTTATTTTGTTTGGCTCGATGTGGGAGTGTGACGTGTGACGTTGTCACGTGCAGGGTTCATGACGAAGAGTCCGGTGCGGCGGCTGGGCGTGGCGGGCGGCGCCGGCGGCATCCGGCACCACGCCTTCTTCAGGGACGTGGACTGGGACGCGCTCGCAGCCCGCCGCCTGCGGCCGCCCTTCAGGCCCAAGCTGGTGAGTACCGCGCACTACACCACACTACACTACACTACACTACACTACACGCTACATCCGGCACCACGCCTTCTTCAGGGACGTGGACTGGGACGCGCTCGCAGCCCGCCGCCTGCGGCCGCCCTTCAGGCCCAAGCTGGTGAGTACCGCGCACGACACCACACTACACTACACTACACTACACTACACGCTACATCCGGCACCACGCCTTCTTCAGGGACGTGGACTGGGACGCGCTCGCAGCCCGCCGCCTGCGGCCGCCCTTCAGGCCCAAGCTGGTGAGTACCGCGCACTACACCACACTACACTACACTACACTACACTACACGCTACATCCGGCACCACGCCTTCTTCAGGGACGTGGACTGGGACGCGCTCGCAGCCCGCCGCCTGCGGCCGCCCTTCAGGCCCAAGCTGGTGAGTACCGCGCACTACACCACACTACACTACACTACACTACACTACACGCTACATCCGGCACCACGCCTTCTTCAGGGACGTGGACTGGGACGCCGCTTCGGCTGGAAATTGAAAATTATCATTGTTTACTATTATTAGTCGTGTAAGAAAATCCAACATTTGGGAGTCAGAATATAATCAACAATATTTGTGTCGATTTTTTTCCGAATATATAGATAGATATAGAATATATCTAGAAGATAGAAGATAGATAGCAAACACTGACAATGAACAATGAAATAAACTAAATTAAAATATACCCAGCAAAATGTCAATATATCAAATGTAAAATTCCCTGTGACATCTTAAATAACAATGACAGTCAGAGATTAACTAGTCATAATATAGCGAAGCATAATGGTTACCCTAAAATGCTTCAACCACCCACCCAAAGGTTGTTGCCCCGGAGCTGATGCCGGGTTGAAAAGGTTCGTCCAGAAGCTCCAACCTTCACCCCCCTAAGGAGGTGCGGATGACCAATTAGTGGTTAGTAAAAGACAAGTTATTATATTGTTTTTTTTTTGTCTACAGAAAAGCAAGCGCGACGCGGCGAACTTCGACGCGGAGTTCACGAAGGAGGAGCCCGTGCTCACCCCCGTGCCCAACGACGTCGTCCGCACCATCAACCAGGTACGAACACGCACTAACACTGACACTGTACCATACGGAGTACTTGAAGAAAATCGCGGGTCACCGAGGTCCCTCACACTTGTCTATGTCGGTCGCAGTTTGCTTTGTAAGCTGTATATGAGTTAAAATGATATGATATGAAATACGGCATCGGTCCATCGTGTCATCGAATTGACACGTCGATTATCAATATATGGGGTGAATGACATGTTGTCGATGGTGGTGTGGCTTTTACACACACACACGACACCGTCCTCGCCGGCGAAGACGACGACCCCCAACACACAATATCGCGCATTCAACCGGGCGCCCGGGCACTCCACACCGGCGCCCCTCCGATCGATCCCCCGTCCAATTCAAACGGGGATCGAAATTACGACGGCCTGAGCCGAGGTTCGAACCCCTAGTGGTGCCTTCAGACTAAAGTCGTATCCGTCGGGCAGGAGTTGGCCTTCAGCCGCTCCATAAGTCCTTCCGCGGGTTTGGAGTGCCATCTGCACTCGTCCCCTATCGTCCGGTGAAGCTGTAAAGGCCAGCTGCGGCCAACAGCATTAAAGTTATCCGAAAAAAAAACCTTGAGGGTTATTTCAGTTACATAAATAAAATGCAAATTTGACAAAATAATTGTATATCTATACTAGCTCTTTTGGTGCCATACGTATTTTAGCAATATATGCCGAAAATGCTAGTAAAAAAGCGCATTTTTATAGATAACTAACTGTCCCGGCAAACGTTGTTTTACCATATAAATTAATAACGCTATAAAAAAATAGGGGTTTATTTAGAATTGTATGTATTTTTGTATATTGTATCATAAAAAAATAGAAACTAAAAATTTTGTCTAAAAAATAAAAAATAAAATTTAGGGGTGGACTACCCCTAACATTTAGGGGGATGAAAAATAGATGTTGGCTGATTCTCAGACCTACTCAATACGCTCACAAAATTTCATGAGAATCGGTCAAGCCGTTTCGGAGGAGTATGGGAACGAAAACTGTGACACGAGAATTTATTATAGATAATGTATATGAACAAGAGGAATATTTACCATATCCGCAACAATACACTAATATTCATAATTTTTTCAACATTCTCTTCAATACATTTTATACTATAATAATTAAAAACACAGAAATTGTTTATATAAAATATATGCAATCGAAGATAGTCAGAATGCAATATAATTAGTAAAGATACGAGCGCGGTTACCTTCGCGCGCCAAGAGTCGCCAAACCTAAACTGTTGTCAAAGGAGTTGTATCGCGACGCACAACAATTGAGTTTCTTGCCAGTTCTTCTCAATTCGATCTATATACCGAACTGGACGGTAGGGAAGAAAATAAAATTATAATGTAAAAATTTGACGTTCATAAGCGGCTAAAATGTCCTATATGAATAAATGATTTTTAAATTTGAATTTGAATTTCAACTAGCGAGAACATGGCACTAAAAGGGTAGTATTATAAGTACGAATAAATAGATTTATTGTATTGTATAAATTAAAAACATACTCAACAGAAATTTGAAACTATATTATATATGACGACCTCGGTGGTATAGCGGTCTAGCACACCGCTTTACGTCCGATGGTCGCGGGTTCGATTCCTCGCACGGCACAAACATTTGTATTCATGAGTATGATTGTCTGTATCGGTCTGGGTGTTTTCCATGTATAATATGTATGTATTTACGAAAAAAAAATCTATGTACTTGTATCAGTTATCTAGTACTCATAACACAAGCTTTACGTAGCTTAACGTGGGTCTAGATGGCGCTGTGTGAATTTTAAAAAGCATAATATGAGTGTAGAGCTATGTATGTAATGAATTGTTATATATGAAGTACTCACCAGGATTTAGAGAACTGAAAACACCTGAGAATAGAATAGAATAGAAAATCATTTATTCAAATAAACTTACATTGAAGCACTTTTGAATAGTCATTACATTTTTTTAATCTACCGCTCATTCGGAAAGCTGTCTCATTACAAGAAGAACGAGCAAGAAACTTGCGTGTTGCTCTTTTAAATAATTTTATTATTACTTTACATTTTTAAATTTAAGTGTGTGAATACAAACCACCAGTTAGTACTAATTCAATTAAATACTCAAATAGAAAAAAAATTGAATATATAACCAACTGGTTAAACAATTAATAAGAGAAAATCAGTCATAGTGATTAGAGACATGTCTGCACTCGTGAATTGAAAAGGATATTACACATTGCTGTTCATGTATATAAGGATGGTTAACGCTTACGGTTTGTTTATTATAATTAATTTAAAAAAATGATGAATAGAGTTTTTTTCCCCTGGCTGAGTATTCTATCATAATAATTGATGAATTTCTTTGTTCCCCGCAGGAGGAATTCCGCGGCTTCTCGTTCGTGAACGGCGACTACAACCCGACGCCCGCACACGAGCCCGCGCCGCTCGCCTGAACCTCCACCACCACGCGCCCTCACCATCACTCCCACCCTCACCATCACCGTCACCGTCACCACCGCCCCTACACTCCACGAGTTCGTATCCTATCGTTCTCTGCCTGCGGGTAGCATTACCAGTAGTATGACTATCGTCGCACGCCGTACGTTCTTTGACTCTATTCACTGAGACGAGTTATAGCACTTTCTCTGTCTTACACTTATATAAGATAGAGACAGCAATAGATCGGTTAGAATAAATGCATATATACAGATCGTTCACTTATAATTTTTGTTTCTTTTTCAGTGGATAGTATTATTATTACTATCACTAAAAAGAAATAAATGCAAATTAATTAATTATTTAAAATTGAACCCAAACAGAATCTCATTTAGAAGTTAGTATTGCGTACGCGTACTCTGCATTTATAACTTAACGATCAGATGCAGTAGAAGTCCCTATGTCCTCCGTGAATAGAGTATATTGTGGTGAAGCTTCATGGTGTCCCACCATTGCATATACCAATGTAATCTCGGAAAGTCTTCAATCGACGGTGCGGCGATGGATATTCGAGAGATTATCCTATTAATACGAGAGGTTGAAGCAATTATAAATTGTTGTAAATATTGAGCGGTAGGTGGGGTGGGGGCGTCGCGGCGGCGGAGGAGGCCGATGAGTAAACCCCATTGGTGACAGTGATGGTGACGGTGATGATGATGACGGTGATGCTGACGGCTCGGTCGGCCGCCGTCCGCGCTCGGTTCCTAGTTGGTCGGTGAGGGATGTGTATCTCGCTTCTAGTCCTTCGTTGTGTATTTATAGTAGGGCCAATACTCATTGAGTTGTCGCACTTTGGACACTTGCAGTATTAATTTTTGAATCGGCGGCGCATCGTACGCGTGTGTTGTACGCAGTACGCAGTACGCAGTACGCAGTGCGTATGCGCCGGTGACGCGACTCGTATTGACGAATTTTGTATTGTTAAGGAGATTATTGGAAAGGTTTAGTCTTATTTTGTAACACTGTTGTGTTGAGATTATTTTGAAGTATTTTTTTAGCGCGTACGTTTTTTTTTTTTGTTCATTTTATTTTTTTTAATTTTTGATTAGTACTAAAAGTACAAATTGTGCCTGCCGCTTCGAGTTTAGATAAAGATCTAATGTTGACCGTCTCTGAAATTTTATTCAATTATTTACATATTGGAAAATTTTGACATTTGTTTTTTTTTTTATAGTTATTTTTTGTAACTCGATTTTTGAGATGGTATTTTGCGGGCTAAAAATCTATTTATTGGCAATGAAAATGTATTCCTGCACCTACTAAACTTGAGATTATGTGAAATGTAATATTCGATCTTTTGGTGTTATGATTAAAAGTTATATTCGATTAACATGCAATACGATTTTAGAAATCGATTGGTTGCTGTAGTGTTGTGGATATCTTTTCGTTGCCAACGTTACCTGTTACGTGTTATCACGTATCTGTTACGTATCGCAACAGTATTTTTTTGCTAATGTGTTTGGAATACCAAAAGTATCGGTTTTTGTTTTGATAATTTATATATAACAATGCTTATATCTATTTATTATGGTTATCATCGTATGAGTAAATGTTTATACAGAATCAAAAGAAGGCAATCTTTTGACTCGGGTTTTGTTTTATAATCATAAATAATGTGTACTATTATTATGGTTAACTTCTGATACAGATGGAGGGCAATATATTATTGCAATTGAGATGTTTTAAACGTCCAGAACAGTATCTAAAACTTGTATATGCATACTGTTATAAATAACTAATTACGCTCAGATTGGACCCCTCCAATCCCTTCCAATTCAAACGGGGATCGAAATTACGACGGCCTTCGAATACCTAGCGGTGCTCGAAGTCAGGCGGGAGTTGGCCTTCCGCTCCTCCATAAGTCCTTCCTTTGGTTTGGAGTGCCATCTGCACTCGCCCCCTAACGTCCGGTGAAGCTGTAAAGGCCAGCTGCGGCCAACAGCATTAGAGTAGTCCGAAAAAAGGGATTGCTTATTATGCTACTTATATACAGACTACCTTTTGTCCGCGGCTTCGCTCTCATTAATTTATCTCCTTTGGGGTGGAATTTTTCAAAATAATTTCTTAGGCAATGCCTACGTTATAGTAGATTTATGCATGCAAAGTCTCAGCCTGATCGGTTTAAAATTGACAAAGTTTCATACAAACTTTCATCTCCTATTTTATCCCCTTGGGGGTAGAATTAATCAAAATCCTTTCTTAGCGGATGCCTACGTCATAACATCTACCTGCATGCCAAATTTCAGCCCGATCCGTCCAGTGGTTTGGGCTGTGCGTTGATAGATCACTATGTCAGTCACCTTTGAGTTATATATATATAGATATAGATAATTCTAGTCACCCGATGTTTTTTGTATTCCATCCACACGGTCTAGTATTAATGTGTTTATTTTTTAAACAAATCAAAACCAAAGGTGTTAAGTTTATAGTTTAGTTGTTAACTGAACGTGTATAGTCGTAATATATTTATTTGGTGGGAGTGTTTGTACGTGGTTCGTTCTCGGCGCTGGTGGGGAGAGCGCAAACATCATGGCACAAATGTAATGCTTTATGTAGCCGTTAGTATATAAAATAAATAATATAAAATATAAATCTCTGTACGTGTTCCCGGTATATTGACATGTTGATGTATAATTACTATTTATATTTTATTTATACATTATTTCGAATGTTATGTTTGTATAAAAACGTTTCATTTAGTGTGAATGGACTAACTGTGTGAATGGAGCGGAATATCGTTAGCGGTCTCTCGGTCGATAAACGTGGCATGCAGGGTTATTACACTATCATATTTCTACGATCTTGTATAATATGTAAACGGTAATATAATCTAAATATTTATATATCCATTTATCAATGACAAACATTTCAAAGCATCTCTCATTAAGAATGAATGAATGAAACAGAAGTTTGAATAAATATGTAATTAATTTCTGTTCTTTTTAAGGATTAAGTGCATGAGAAATATATTGATGATAGTGTACTAACCCCATATTGTTTAACGGCCGTCTCTCGAGAACTATATATGAGTACTTCGAGAGTTGACGCTAGAATCCACAATTTCGATGATGTATCACTGTAAAGCTACACAGTGTTGTTCCTGCTATTCTTCAATACATCTCTAGCTAGTATTTTATTTGGAGAAAATCCCTAATGGATGCCTGAAACCCCTGGGCGAAATTAATTAATTATTGCATTACCCCTGTTCACTTCTGGGGATACAAACTTCCCCAGTCCTCAGTCCAGTCCTCTCAAATTCATAGTATTTGTCAGACAGTCGATACTTTAGTATATTTATTCAGAGACATAGATCTCAGAAACGTAAGACATTATGTTCACGTTAGTGTAGTGATGTGGCCTTTACAGTGATAGCAAATTCGATATTGGTTCGCTCCCGGTCCGTTCGTCCATCACTAACGTATTTTTTCTATGTGGGTCATACTAATACATTAGCGTATAGACGTTGAATAGTGTACGAGCTAGCGCGCCCCGCGTGACGTCACCGGGCTCATGACGTCATGGGGCTCGTGTTGTCACCAGCCCGTGACGTCACGCGGCCGCAGTGCGTGCTCACATTTATTCAATTTCATAGTTGTGTGTTGTTGGCGTGTGCGTGCGTGTGATTGCGTGCGTGGCTGCGAGCGCGTGGTCCCAATTCTGACGTTGCGTTCTTAATATTATAAATAAAGTACTAATTGTTGTAACATTAGCGAACGTGAAATATATAGTGGTTGTTTTGTGTTTCTAATATTGAACGGTCCATATAGGCCTTAAGCTATACAGTGTTTGAATGGATACAAATACGTAAACGGATTGCGTTGTCCTACTGTGAATCTTATTATGTTGTCCGCAGAGTTTATTTTTGCATGATTGTAATAACAATTTTATGGTTTTCAATATGCATTATGAAACGTGGCGATATTTTGAATCTTTTTTTTTTAAACCAGAATCGTAGTGTAGTTATTGAAATGCGGGTATGCATCCAGAATTTTCGATGGATTTTTTTTAACGGTATAAACATACAGTATGATGCATTGTGGATAGTGTACTCGGTACGGTAATAGTTAATTAATGTAGTACAATTTAGTAATGTTGAGAGTAAAGCACAAAACAATACTATATATGTCGGGTGACTGTTTGCCGCACGGAAGGAAATATAGTAGAATATCTACGTGGAACTAACTCCATGATGATTTCGTGAAAAGGAAATTATTACGATAAAAAAAATTATTTACAACTTTTAAAAAAGAACAATCTCGTATATTTTGCGCAGTGCACGCAACGGATGCGTTCAAAATGAATGTTTGTTGCTACATTTTTGATTGCTGCTCCGCTCCTATTGGTCGTAGCGTGATGTTATATAGCTTATAACACTCGTGGATAAAATACCTTTCTAACAGTGAAAGAGTTTTTAAAATCGGATCAGCAGAACCTGGGATTTCTCCGAACAAATATCGAAAGTAAAAATTTATTCATGTAGGACATTTTAGCCGCTTATGAACGTCGAACTTTTTGTATTGTAATTTTTTCCCTACCGTCCAGTTCAGTATTGAGATTTAATTGAGAAGAATTGGCAAGAAACTCAAATGATTTTTTTTAAAAGCCAGTTTACTTACAAAGAAACAAACTTTATCTCTTTTTCTATAGATGTACTATAACTTTCTTCGAACGGCAAACAGTCATCCGGTATAAATATATACACATAAGTACATACAAGGTTAGTAATGGGTGTATCAAAATCGAACCCAGTGCCCATCAAACTGAATGATGTTCAAAATACAATCAATTTGATAATGTATTTAACCTTTCATACAATCATGGGAATGTATTTTGTACATATTTCGGGTATGGTTTAATTACTGTAATAAATGACTGCCACAGTGCTCTAGCGGTTTAGAATGCTGTCTTGCTTCCGATGGTCGCGGGTTCGATTCCTCGCTCGGTATAAACATTTGTAATTCATGAAGATGATGGTATCGATCTGGGTGTTTTCTATGTA